TCAAGCACCCACTCACCCACCCAGTCACCCACGCACCCAAGCATCCACACACCCACCCACTATTACAAAGCCTGAGTCTAGAACAATTTCTTCTGGTCTAGTAAGATCAGATTATACTTGTCCATAAGCTGACACTAAAATATACTGAAACTTGTGTCAGAATACACTTTCAGGCTGTTAGACTCATACGTTTTGGCTCTACTGCTAATATCAGTACTGTCCACTCACTGAAGCTGTAGTGTCAAACCAGTCCCATATCAACCAATCATACAAGCTTGAAACCTCATATGTTAACAGAGCTCCAGATAAGCTGCGTATCTGCGTAAAATACGCATCAGAAATGCAGAAATACGCAGTAAAAAAAAATCCAAGTGTATCAAATACGCAACGAACATTACAGATAAGCTACAAAAATAAAACTTGTGAGTATCATCAAAATATTGTAAAATAACCCTGCGTATGCAATTAGCAAATCAGCAACTTATTTTGAAATCATAAACGGGCATTCCGTCAACCTTGCCAAACTCCACGATGATAATTACATCATGATCATTTGCGATCACACTTTCTTGTGGAAGTATCGTGGTATCGTCCTATAAAGCTCTCGAACCCACATGACACCAGTTTGCAGGGACTAGATGAATAGGGTAACAGAAATTTGAATACCCAAATAGAATTACTGATACCCAATGATTTAAAATGCATGGGTAAAATATCCACAACACCCAAAGCTTATCTGGAGCTCTGTGTTATCCAATCGAAATGTGTATTTACAAGATGATAAATTTCCAATCTGACAAACAATATGTCAGTCCTTATTGTTCATGATTAATTTCAGCTAAGATGTAAAGAATGTAAAACTTTCGTGATAAACAAATCACCCGAGTCCTCCTCTTTGTTGTCTGTTCTATACATTCAGTTCCAAACAAACTTGCAATCTTACCTCACGCAAGCGCTATAGACCAGGGCAATATTCAGATTGAACAAGGAGACTTCAATGAGCAAACACAGCATGGGAAGTACATCGATTTTCTCTGCCTGGCAGCTCCCTAGCACAGATCATCACATATCTGTTAACTTTACTCTCTGTCAAATCTCCTCAACCCCTCCCCATGCCCCCCCGCCACCAACACCGCTTCCCCTCCTTCCACCCTCCCTCCATCTCCATCACAGCCATCTACACTGACCAGATACAAGCCACACAGGCCATGTTGCCAATCCATTTACCACTCACACCTTCCAATTTCAACCTGCGAGCTGCCTTCACCTACTCTGCTGGCAATGCCTAATCAGGTTCCTGCCAGGCAAACCACATACTTGCAGTACAGGTTAGCGCTGTTGGTTCAGCCTCCAGTGTTCCGATTGCTGGATTAAATGCCTCAGAGCCACAGTTTGATGCCTTTGAGTCTTTCCATTTTCCGAGTGCACAGGCTTCCCTGAGTCATCGCAGCTGCCTCTGTGATGAGTTGCGTCACTTGGGCACTACCGAATCCTGTCATGGGTTTGAATCCCAGATTTGCCCTGTTTATCTTTGATTCTTGGTTTGTCAGCACCATACCCATGTTCATGGGATTCATCAAAGACATAGCACACTTCCGATTGTCCCCCCAACCATGAAGCTGACATGCTTGATGTAATTGAAATACTGTTGTAAATTCAACTCACCTTCCATTTATGCCCACTGTCTGAAGTTTGTAGAAGGCTCTACCCTCCAGACCAGACTCACCTTTTTGGAGTGCCCATGGTCATGTGGCCATTGCTCTGTTGCATGCAGATCCACAGTTCATGCTTGGATTCTATTAATCTTCCTTCAGCTATATGGGACTGTTTCAGATACAGTATTTAAACTCTAGACCCCACTCAGTCTGTGTATATACCCTCGTGGCATGAAAGTTAATTGTCTTGCTCTGGAGCACCGTAGGGGATTTCTTTGATTGAGTCTGTTAAGAGTGAAAGATGTCTACTTGAAACTGCAGAATGTTTCTTGTGTTTTCCTACTGAAGAGAGAAAAACATTGATTTTATGAGTCTTTTTTTTTAGGATTGCTCTGATTTGTAGTTCTTTGCCAGTCCTGTGACTGTTGGTTTCAATATTTACAATCTGATGTTACAAAAAAGGCAGAATAAATCTCCATGTTGATTGGAGGGTCAGAATGGCTGATAAACATGAATAATTCTTTGAGCTGGGCCACCAGAAACAAACTGTGTCTAAGCCAGGGTAAGACGTGGCCATTAGTCCATTAGTCCATTAGTCCAAGACTAGTGAAAATCTATAGCTGCTGGTTGTTTTCTTCATGCATTTAATTTAATAAAAAAAAGTCTGGATTATATACTACTGAAAAATGTTAAGGGCCACCGATTCTGTCCTGACATGGCAGACTCACTATAGTAATATGAAAGATCCTTAACATTTTTTGAGTAGTATGCAAAGAGCACATCAATAGACAGGATGACAGAAATAAGTCTTTCTTCTTCTTTAGAGTGAGTGAGTGAGTTTGGTTTACACCGCTTTTAGCAATATTCCAGCAATATCACGGCGGGGGACACCAGAAATGGGCTTCACACATTGTACCCATGTCGGGAATCGAACCCGGGTCTTCGGCGTGACGAGCGAACGCTTTAACCACTGGGCTACCCAACCGCCCCCTTCTTCTTTAGAAGATAGAATTGTGTTTTGTAATACAGTTCATGTGTTTACCTCACTGAGCATCAGTGTCACAAAATGGTTTTCATCTTTTCCAGTATCACATGTTCATAAACTCTGTGCCAGGAAGCCAGCATGATAGCATGTGAATATAGTGCACATTGCACCTCCACTATGAAACATGACACATTCCTGTGGAATGCTGAAGTTTTGTTTTCACAAAGAGATAAGATTAAAGCATGTTAATTGGTGGATGTGTGAAAGTGTTTCAAAACCTTTTGCTCAAAACAGGTAAATTACTTGTTCACCAGTGTGCACTCAACACCTACATCTAGAAGCTATGTCAAGTGAGATTCCAGGGTGAGGTCTTAGGCTGGGACGATACACCAACTGTGTGATCCGATACTTATAACGGTACCTTTGTCCAGACTCCATTATTTACAGGCCACCATCATATTAGCTGGAATATTGCTGTGTGCAGTATTAAGCAACAAACAAACAAATCATGTCATGAGATAACAGTCCAGTGGGGATGGTGTGAAAAACAAACTTGAATACCGATAGATTCAAATTGAAAAGCTCATCGTGCCTAGTCAATTTACCTTAAACGAGTTTGTTAGGTTTTGATAAACCGGTACTCAAGTCCATTTTAATCTACCCATCAAAGTCGGAGGGTTGATACAACTGACTGAAACTTCAGCCAACCGTGATTCACTCACTTTGGGTCAAGGAAAGCTTTATTGCTGGAGTCACGCTATTAAAGCTGATGTGTTACAAATAACTCCAAACATACATGCTTAACCTGACTCTCTTTAGTATACACTCTCCATCAGTGATCGATTGATTATTTGTAACAGTTGGCATCCAACCTTCCTCCTCCTCCTTGTTAGATACATCCATAATGGGTGTGTCATTGTCCCATTTAGAGTTTTCTTTCAAACAATATTGAAAGCATTTCTCTTGGCACTGTTATCTTTATTTCCCAAAAATGATTATTTTCTTGTTTGATATGTGCAGTGGCTGTGTCATGATGCTAATCCCCGCAACCTGACATCCAGCTTCCTGCTTACTTATCGCACAATTTTGCCTCCACCACTGACACCATTAGATGTGCAAAACTTTTAGATTTTCCTGATTGTCAATGTAAGGCTGTTCTATACTTGATTTTCATGTCCCAAATACCTTGGATTTGTGTAATTGTTCAAATGGCTGTTATCCTTACCTAACTGCCATTTGTCCGGGAGACAACTGAACAGACTTTGCAAGATGGAAAAGCTAGTAATTAAAGCATTAGCTTTTAATGTTGTTGATGTGACTTGCAGCCGCCATCCTTAATGTTCCCCACCATCAAACGGCTGCAATACTGCCACATAAAGCATAAAGCATAAACCTTCTCCCTGATTCCAGGCTGTGGAACAAGTTTATTGTTCAAACATTAACTTGATGTGAATGAGGTGAGTTGGCCTTGTGGGCATAGAAGCATTGGCTGCTCTGAAGTGGAAGAAGACCTACTCTTGTTGGCCCCACCGTGATGCAGCATGAATGTTACTGAAAGCAGTGTAAACCCATGCTCCATTCAAGGTGCTTTGACGATAATAACGAGGGTGAATTCTGTGACAATGTGATTCCATCAAACGTGAAGTCACACACAGTGTTTTCTGCCCTTTGATCTCCTCATCTTGTACCATCATGGTGCCTGTGTCCGTTAGTGCCAGTGAAGGAGCATTTTCTCTGCCTCGTGTTCCTGGAACTTACTCAACAGGCAGTTGTCCATTTAATTCTCATCAATGTTTGTGTGTGAGATTGTTGGAAGGATTTCAACTGTACCCTACCAGCATACTCCTCCTGCCTTCATTTTGTGCAGATACTTGCTTGCATCGTATTACCTGATACTGATCGGGCAGCAGTCATGCTAGATGGGTGTGTTTTTTTGGGTGTCCCTGTCATATGCATTTACTTGCAGAGTTATGTCCCTTAGGTATAACAGAAACCAATGATCATGGGTTTAAATCAGATTTGCCTGCAATGTTTCTGGGCTTGTGACACCATGTAATCCTTGTGGGTTCACCAAAGTGATAAACATCTTAAAACTAGGTGCAGCACTTTGTGCTTTCCTACCACTCCAAGCTGACACGCCATGATACAACCATAAAACTGTTTAAAACATTGCCGCGATTACCTGTTAAATGACTGATGTGATGTAAGTACTTGTAATAACGTGACTGGTTTGTCTGGTCCTGAATATATTTACAGGTAGCCGTCATGTGTCTGGAATATTGCTGAGTGCAGCATTTAACAACCAATAAACATTTCCTCCCATATTGTGTCATGCTGATTGTCTCCTATTGGTGTTGCAGGAAGTGGCAGCAGCTGTGGCAAGGTGATCCAGAGATTCCCGGAGAAGGACTGGGACGACTGTCCATTCACACAGGGCATAGAACTGGTCAGTATCTACTATATTCACCCCTGGGAGTCCAGGGTGGAATAAATCCATATTTCCCTCACAGTGCAGTTATCGTGTGTTCCTAGTCCTAAGTAGATCTTAACCAGCGTTAGAAACTAACACTTTAGTCCACTAGTCCTTATGATGATAACTAGTCCTTATGATACGTTAACTATTAGGCATTAACTGACATAGTTTGACATACAACAGTCATAGCACTAAGATTGCTTTTTCGGGAACAGGGCTTATTGTGTGTGATTGCTCCCTGACAGTCAACCTATGCTCATGCTATTGATCATTGGTCTGTATGATCGGAGGTCATTTATTTGTGGGCCACCAAGAGTAGCCGGAATATTGCTGGCTGCCGTGTAAAGCTATGTTCACTCACTCACTCACTGTGCAATGCAGTTTCAACCAAGGCATGTATCAGACTCAATATTGAAATGTTTCATTGCTTTCTACAGATGATTCAAAGATTTTCTTGCAGGTGCATCGAAACCTTTCGGATGGAAACTAATTTGTTACCTTCCGCCCAATCTTGCAAAGATGACTGTATTGGACAAGATTTCATTTATTTCATTCTCATAAAGACATCATCGCTATTTGCGATGTTCAAAGTACATCACTTTTTCCATCATTGAAAATCTTTAGCTGAATAGCAAATGTGTCAATCGAAGTCTGGCGACTTGATTTGCTCAGTTCCCCCTGTGGGACTTAAATGGGGACGTGTGCATTGATCGATGTAGGTTATTACAGCAGTGTTAATAGTGAGCCAGGAACCTTTGCCCTCCCTGCGGGGAACTGACAGACAGAATTGTTACTGGTGATATGTCCATAACTCAGCACACATATCTGACCTCCACAATGTCAGTTGCAGTTGATGTTTATGCAAGTTTATCTTGCATGTATGTATGTTTATCTCAGGATTGTTTCGTCATTTTGATTATCGATTGAATAATATCTCCATTCTGTTAGATTATATGCCCAGAGGACTCATTGGTCATCATAGCTTTGACGACCCATGAAGATTTGCGTAAGAATAGGTCTTCAGTGACCCATTCTTTTCCCCCCATGAAGATACGGGATAAAATAGGTCTTCAGCAACCCATGCTTGTTGTAAAAGGCAACTAACAGGATCGGGTGGTCAGGCTCGCTGACTTGGTTTGATGCATGTTGTTGTATCCCAAGTGCGTGGATCAATGCGTGTCAATCACTGGATTGTCAGGTCAGGACTCAGTTATTCACAGACACTGTCTTATAGCTGGAATAGTGCTGAGTGTGGCTTTAAACAACTAATAATCCTTATCAATTAGTATGTAGTTGCTTGTTGTCCCCCGCCGCGCGAAAGCGCGAAGCGGGGGATATAGTATTCACGACCGTCCGTACGTCCGTCCGTCCGTCCATCCGTACGTCCCACCTGTTTGTTGCCGCGATATCTCAAGAACTAAACACTGGATTGTCTTCATATTTGGAACTATGGTGTATATACAGACTCCGCAGACACCAGTCGGTTTTGGTGACCTTGACCCCATTTTCAAGGTCACAGCAGGCATATCTGCTTTTGGAGTTGGAAAACGGTGTTGCCGCGATATCTCAAGAACTAATCTCTGGATTGTCTTCCTATTTGGTACTAGGGTGTATATACGGACTCCGCAGACACCAGTCGGTTTTGGTGACCTTGAGCCCATTTTCAAGGTCACAGCAGGTAAATCTGCTTTTGGAGTTGGAAAACGGTGTTGCCGCGATATCTCAAGAACTAATCTCTGGATTGTCTTCCTATTTGGTACTAGGGTGTATATACGGACTCCGCAGACACCAGTCGGTTTTGGTGACCTTGACCCCATTTTCAAGGTCACAGCAGGCATATCTGCTTTTGGAGTTGGAAAACGGTGTTGCCGCGATATCTCAAGAACTAATCTCTGGATTGTCTTCCTATTTGGTACTAGGGTGTATATACGGACTCCGCAGACACCAGTCGGTTTTGGTGACCTTGAGCCCATTTTCAAGGTCACAGCAGGTAAATCTGCTTTTGGAGTTGGAAAACGGTGTTGCCGCGATATCTCAAGAACTAATCGCAGGATTGTCTTAATATTTGGAACTATGGTGTATATACAGACACCGCAGACACCAGTCGGTTTTGGTGACCTTGACCCTTTTTTCAAGGTCACAGCAGGCAAATCTGCTTTTGGAGTTGGAAAACGGTGTTGCCGCGATATCTCAAGAACTAATCGCTGGATTGTATTCATATTTGGTATTTTGGTGTATATACAGGCGGGGGACATTTCGTCACTTCTGTGACAAATACTTGTTTCTGTTAAACTTGTATATTTTCAGAGACTAGGATTTAGTCTAGGTCCCTTAGCCATGCCAGAATCTGCTTTCCATGAAGTCTTTGACGGGCATTCAGGAGTACATTATGAAACCTGTGTGTCATTTCCGTCTATTCCTTCATCAGTAATCATATAATGAAGGAGCAAGACGTAGCCCTGAAGGTTGTTACAATTAATGAAAAAAATGTTATCTGTAAACAAGATAACTCTTCCTGCTTGCCATGGTTTTGAATCCCAGATTAGCAGTTTGGTTTGTTTGCTCGTGTGTCTCTGCAAGGTGATTACACGCCAACGACTTCCATCACTTTGACTCTACTCCCACATGAAGCAGACATGCCATGAAAAACTAAAAAAACTAATCAACGTGGAATTATAAATCACTGATTAAATTGAACCTTGGAGATAGTGTTTGGTTATTCCATACCATTTTTTTTTTTAAACTGAAAAGAATTAACTGATGAAGACAGAGGCTGGTTCAGAGAAGACGTATAAGGTCTGGAAGGTCAATGGGAAATATGAAAGTCACAGGAGAAGGCTTGTGAAAATAGGTGCACATTTTTGGGATCAACATTGAGCAGGTGCCCCCTGAACAAGGGCTTGTTATCAGTGCAGTCACGTGTGCCATAACATGCCCTGGAATGTTAAAACCTGGCTCCAAGGAATGTTGTGTGATCCTAATACTTTCAGGATGGGATGTTTAGAACCAAAAGATTCCTTGTGTAATGTGGAGGTTTGTGCCTTACTGTCCATCTATTACACTCTCTCCATGATCAGTCATTTATAGATGACCCAGTCTGTGCCCGAAACTTCAGACTCCACTACAACCAAACTTGGCTCTCCGATAACTTTCAGTAGATTTTAGTGTTCCCTGACCACACAAAAGACTATTGCTTAGTCTCTAAAAATATACATTTTTTTTAATCGACACAAACAACTCCCATATAAATTTAAAAGGAGCTCCAGTGAGATGGGAGATTCAGAACCTGAACCTGTGGAAAACATCAATTTGTATTCTATAGCATTTTAGTAAGGCTGGGCGGAAGGGAAAATAACAAGAGTTTGACACTAACGTGGCTATGTCCCCCGCCCCTGTTGCAGAATTTATGACATAATTAAATCTAAACAAACCCTAACCTTTTTTAACCGAGGTGGAACTTGTCATGGAAATTGTAAAAAAAAGAAGAGTTTGGAACCTAAGTCCATCTTGCTGCAATGGAAACGTAAAAAAATAACATTTTCTAAAATTGCTAAATAGCAAAAGGCACCAGTTCAGCATGTACCTGACAAACCTGCAAAGTTTGATGAAAAAATATTGAACGGTTTATGAGTTATGCTCCAGAAACGAACCCTACACTCACAGAACCTAAGTCCATCTTGTTGCCATGGAAACGTAAAAAATAAAAATGTCTAAATTTTCTAAATAGCAAAAGGCACCAGTTCAGCATGTACCTTACAGACCTGCAAAGTTTGATGAAAACATATTGAACGGTTTATGAGTTATGCTCCGGAAACGAAACGTGACGGACGGAGCCCGTTTCTATATCCCCCGCCAACTTTGTTGGGCGGGGGATAATGAAGTTTTGGGACTGTGAGACAAATTAACTACACTATTACAAATGTGTTTATTCATCACGTAATATAGGTCATAGGCCCAGGTTAGAGAAATATATACTCTGTTATGATATGGACTAGTATTTGCTGAGCCTAGTAGACCAAACAGAAGTTTCCCAGATTCAGATTTAAGTCAAAGATATATTACCCTCGCTCTATCCACCCTGTTGGGACCTGGCTCAGAGTGGGTTAGAGGCATCTAGATTTGATGAGATGGTCAGACTTGCTGACTGGCTTGATTGCATGTCTCTGCTGCCCCAATGGCGTTAAACGTTGCTCAATATATCAGTCACTGGTTCGTCTGGTACAGACTCCAGTATTTACAGATTGCCATCATTATAGCTGTGTGCAAGTACCCCGACAACATGGATCGTTGCTCATGTCAATCACAGGTTCATCTGGTCCAGACTCCAGTATTTGCAGGTTGCCATCATTATAGCTGTGTGCAAGTTCCCCGATAACATGGATTGTTACTCATATGAATCACTGGTTCGTCTGGTCCAGACTCCAGTATTTACAGGTTGCCATCATTATAGCTGTGTGCAGGTACCCCAATAACATGGATTGTTACTCATATGAATCACTGGTTCGTCTGGTCCAGACTCCAGTATTTACAGGTTGCCATCATTATAGCTGTGTGCAAGTACCCCGACAACATGGATCGTTGCTCATGGCAATCCCTGGTTCTGGTCCAGATTTGATGATTTTCAGGCCTGCGAGATGTGGCATGAATAATGCTGACTGAGGTACAAAACAAGAGTAGATCAATTCCCTACATGTTGTCATAAGCCCTCCTTGTGGAGGTCTTGACTTAAAAGGTATTGGTGTTCTTGTCATGCTTACAGGTGACTAACGGGATCGGGTGGTCAGACTCGCTGACTTGGTTGATGCAAGTCATTGTGTCCCAGTTGCGTGGATTGATGCTCATGATGTCAATCACTGGATTGTCTGGTCCAGACTGGGTTATTTTACAGACCGCTGTCATGTAGCTGTAATATTGCTGAGTGCAGTGTTAAACAGCAACAAAAACAAAAAAAGCATGCCGTAGAGAGAAACGGACTTTAGTGAAATTAAGGTTCAGACTAGTGGCCAAAGTAGCAGACTGATATTATAACATCATTAGAACCATTGCAAAGCTCCAGCCACCCCTTGCCCCAAGCATTGATTGTGCTTCTCAATGAGTGTGTGTGTCACAACCTATGACACATTCCTCCCACAGCCCTCCCATGCTGAAACTGATTCACTCTCACCACTCAGTTATTTCCTCGTTTGTCTCGCAATCTGCATAGTGGACTTCTGTATGCAGTCGAGTTTAAAGGAATCTGTTTCTCAAATCTCTCCATCAATACCACCCTACAAACTGATATACCGTATTCGACGTAATAAGCGCCCCGCTCTAATAAGCGCCCACGGCGATATTTGCTCATATATTGGCAAGTGAACAATCCCAATTAGCACCCCTTCCGACTGATCAATGTACACTTATTTATTCCTGTATAAAACGCACTCGTGTGTTATATGCACCCTTAATTATGGGCAATTAAATTCTGGAAAAATATATCTGTCGTTCATAAACATTTTAGGCTGTCAGCATAAACCATGATACTTATCTTTCAACTATGTTTTTTTTCACCAAAATATAATTCTAATAAGAGCCCCCTATTTCTAATTTTGAGAGCACCCTGGGCGCTTATTACGTAGAATAAGGTAACAGCAGATGTATATTCTGGCGATACTCTGTAGGGCTGGGCCACTAAACATGTAAGTGTGTATGTATCTATGGGAATTGATCTCACATTCCTCTGTGATGGGAGGCCTGTGTGTTGATGGGGACAGATGTGCACAAGCTGAAAGCAAGGGACATTTGTGGTGTTTGTAACTGGTCGATACTCATTCAAGTCAACATTGATCTGTCTGATTCACTGTATTGACTGGCTAATGTCAGGTAATTAACATGCGGACAACATCCTCATGGGACACGCATGTGACATACTTAGCAACAGGGCAGGCGCCGTTATTAGGAACAAGTGTTATCGTTTAGATGTATTAAATGCAATGGACAAATGTATCTTGTAGTTGTCAGGTGATATTAATATTTTAGCGGTTGATGTGTGAAAGAGTGAAGATCATGCTGCGTCCGCAACTTTGCAGCTATTCCAGCATATTAAGGCTGAGACTAAGGCATGTAAGGCGTAGTCTCTGAAAACATATAATTTTCATAGAAACAAACAGCTCCATTTAAATTTAAAATAAGTTGCTTCATTTGGGGCTATAGCATTACAGTAAGGGCTGGGTAGACTAACATTTAGTCTCTGAAATATTATATTACACAATATCCTTCTTGACTCTAAAAGTAAAATAAAAATTCCATATGCTGATTTCTTAGAGCTAGCTAGGGCTGGGCTGCGTTTCTAGATTTTTTTGTTTTTTCGTAAAATAAATATATTCCACGGTCCTGGTGCAGGACTAAGGGCTGGATAGTAGGGGAAAATATTATGGTTCAGCGACCTTGAGACAGACTAGTCCAGGCCAACTGGTAGAAGCATTCTTGGGGTTTAAAATTAAGAGGTCAGGTCCTGGGTCTTCTCCTATTGTATGTTTACTCTTCATCCATTACTGATTTTGAACACGTGTTATGACAAGGACATTCATGCTTGATTTCAAACACGGACAAATATTCTGGTGATTGATTAACAGTTCTAACATGATTGTATGTAAATCAGGGTTTGAAATTAGTTAGTCTTAGAATAGCAAAATTCAGGGTGGGCTAGTGGCCCTCAGTCAATCGATTGACATTCATGAACATTAACCACATGAACATTCACCACAGTCAATCCATGAACATTCAGTTGACGAACATTCAACCATTTATGTATTGTTTCTTGAAGGTATCTCTGCAGTAATAGAGTACTATGGTATCTTTTCCAAGTTCATCTGGCTATTGGATGTATTGGTTGTTTCAGTTTTGTCAGCCAACAGGATGGACTCTCTCCACTCAGAGACAACAGCCTTCCTTCTACGTCGCTGTTTTGACCGACATCGATGCAGACCGCCACTACTGTGCATCCTTCACTTTCTACGAGACCATCGCCATGACGCCCACCCACCCCGACGACCAAGACGGGGACGACCAAGAACCCAACATGGTTCATCATTCCCTCATGTTTGCTCCCAAAAGTCTCGTGCTCATGTCCAGGCTCGACTACTTCGAGGCTTTCAGGGTGAGAACTGGGATCCCCTGGAGGGACGGACCCCTCAACTGAAATAATATAGGATTAGTACCTCGTGTTTCCTCTTTATCTCATGCAATATTCATGAGTAAAACACAGAGATTATGAAAATCAAACTCTTGGGACACTTTAGTGCAGCAGGCATAGGCCCATGTTCAAGCATGAGGGGGGCGGTCGGGTAGCCTAGTGGTTAAAGCGTTCGCTCGTCATGCCGAAGACCCAAGTTCGATTCCCGACATGGGTACAATGTGTGAAGCCCATTTCTGGTGTCCCCCGCCGTGATATTGCTGGAATATTGCTTAAAGCGGCGTAAAACCATACTCGCTCACTCAAGCATGAGGCAACCCCGCAGTTTTGCAGGTTGACGTTAAGGTACAACAATGAACAGTTCAGTGATTGTGGAATTCCAAAAAGTGCTACGATTGACTCCTAATTGAATGATCCAGCTCTGCTGCAGCCACAGCTTGCTGCATAGACCTTGTACCAGGCTTTTCTCTCAAAACATCCTCCTCCCTCCATCAGTGCCAAAGGGATCAGGAATACATGGTCATAAGAGTTATCTCCCTTTAAGCCCAATGCAAGAAGTGCCAGTAAAATGTTTAAAACTAAGATTTACTGTTGATTAGATTTTGAAAGTAGTAATTGAAATTCTAAGGACACAGAACATGTGTTTTTCTGGTATTGTTTCAAGAAATTCTGATGTTCTTATATTGGGACTGCACTGCCAGCTTCATCGGAGTGTTTGTATTTGAATCATTGGAATGGATATATCTACAAGCTACACAATGAAAAACAACAGGTTATTAGTTCCTATTACGTCTTGAAAATGATCAGTTAGGCTCAAATATAAATTTCAACATAAGTAGATAGTCAGATCAGCTAGGTATGTTGTTTTGGGAGCCACAAGCTTGTTACTTTAGCTAGCCAATCTGAAGTTTAGCTCTGCTTTAGAAACTGAACCTACTAGTTTATCACAAGATAAATTACATAAGATTTTAATTTGTTACCATAGGGAAATTTATTCTCCATCATTACCTACTGGCCTTTATATGATCCTCAATCAGTATGCCCAAGCTTGTGGCTTTCAACAAAATACTTGTGAAGTGTCATGTTGGCGTTGCCGTCCACCTTAAGCTGGAAGCGTGTGATGTGACTGACTGACTGATTGACTGTTACAGAACTGCCTGGGGCTCATCTACACGGTGTACACGGAGAACCTGCAGGTGCAGATGGAGACCATCGTGGGCAACATCCTGGGCTGTGTGCAGGTGCCCCCTCCAGGTATGTAGCAGTATGGAGTCCAGGGGCACAGCAGATCCCCACTACAACAGCAGTGTGAGTGTTGTTGCTGATGCATCTGGTGTATGTTGACGCCGTTGCTGGTGTATGGTGACACTGTTGCTGCTGTATGGTGACACTGTTGCTGGTGTATGGTGACACTGTTGCTGGTGTATGGTGACACTATGTAGACGCTGTTGCTGATGTATGGTGACACTGTTGCTGATGTATCTGGTGTATGTAGACGCTGTTGCTGGTGTATGTTGACATTATTGCTGGTGTATCTGGTGTGTGTTGACACCGTTGGTTGTGTATGTTGACACTGTTGCTGATGTATCAAGTGTATGTAGACGCTGTTGCTGGTGTATGTTGACACAATTGCTGATGTATCTGGTGTATGTAGACGCCGTTGCTGATGTATCTGGTGTATGTAGACGCTGTTGCTGGTGTATGTTGACGCCGTTGCTGGTGTATGGTGACACTGTTGTGAGTGCACCTGGTGTATAATGATGCTGTTGTTGTGCACCAGGTGTATGGTGATGCTGTTGCTGGTGTATGTTGATGCCGTTGCTGGTGTATGGTGATGCTGTTGTGAGTGCACCTGGTGTATAATGATGCTGTTGTTGTGCACCAGGTGTATGGTGATGCTGTTGCTGGTGTATGTTGATGCCGTTGCTGGTGTATGGTGACACTGTTGTGAGTGCACCTGGTGTATAACGATGCTGTTGTTGTGCACCAGGTGTATGGTAATGCTGTTGCTTGTGTATGGTGATGCTGTTACTGGTGTATGGTGATGCTGTTGTGAGTGCACCTGGTGTATAATGATGCTGTTGTTGTGCACCAGGTGTATGGTAATGCTGTTGCTTGTGTATGGTGATACTGTTACTGGTGTATGGTGATGCTGTTGTGAGTGCACCTGGTGTATAATGATGCTGTTGTTGTGCACCAGGTGTATGGTGATGCTGTTGCTGGTGTATGTTGATGCCGTTGCTGGTGTATGGTGACACTGTTGTGAGTGCACCTGGTGTATAATGATGCTGTTGTTGTGCACCAGGTGTATGTTGATGCCGTTGCTGGTGTATGGTGACACTGTTGTGAGTGCACCTGGTGTATAATGATGCTGTTGTTGTGCACCAGGTGTATGGTGATGCTGTTACTGGTGTATGGTGATGCTGTTGTGAGTGCACCTGGTGTATAATGATGCTGTTGTTGTGCACCAGGTGTATGGTAATGCTGTTGCTTGTGTATGGTGATGCTGTTACTGGTGTATGGTGATGCTGTTGTGAGTGCACCTGGTGTATAATGATGCTGTTGTTGTGCACCAGGTGTATGGTGATGCTGTTGCTGGTGTATGGTGATGCTGTTGTGAGTGCACCTGGTGTATAATGATGCTGTTGTTGTGCACCCGGTGTATGGTGATGCTGTTGCTGGTGTACATGGTGTATGTAGACACTGTTGCTGGTGTATGTTGACGCTGTTGCTGGTGTATGGTGACACTGTTGCTGGTGTATGGTGATGATGTTGCTTGTGCATCTGGTGTATGGTGATGCTGTTGCTGGTGTGTGGTGATGCTGTTGCTGGTGTGTGGTGATGCTGTTGCTGGTGTGTGGTGATGCTGTTGCCGGTGCACCTTGTGTATGATGACAATGTTCTTGCTGTTGCACCTGGATGATGCTGACAGTGTTGTTGCTGTTGGTGCACTTGGTGGATGCTAACAATACTGTTGGTGCACCTGGATGCTGCTGACAGTGTTGTTGTTGTTGTTGTTGCACTTAGTGGATGCTGATGGTGTTGTTGCTGTTGCAGGTGGGCCCCAGGTGCGGTTCTCTATAGGAGCGGGTGATCGGCAGGCACTCCAGCCCCCTCTAAGTTCAACACTCCCAGTAACAAAATACAACGTAGCCCTCGTATTTGACCAGCTAGGTGAGCTCTTAGCTGACATATGGATACAGTTAATTGTATTGAGACATGTCCTTTGTACATATGATAAAGGGATGACTCGAAAAAATATATCTTTCAGCTGTAGAAACAGTTTTAGTCCATGTAGCAAAATCCTTATAAATTTCTACTCGTCCTTATGATACCTTAAATATTGGGCACTTTGGCAAGGACTTCCTGCGATTTGTTTGAAATCAACAATGTGAATGTTAGATTTGAATACACCAATAACTTTTTTGAAAAAGGAAGTAGAACCCCTATGTTACACTTACAAAGACCCTATCTTGTATTGCATATAGTACATAGTACATGTTGATTATGGATTTTGGACTAATAGACCTGGGACTGTGGAAGTCAATGATAATGTAGTAGGGCTGTAATTGTCATCGGTGATATTGGAGACCGAGCCAAACAAGATAATATTTGGAAATTGTTTTGTGGGGTTGCAGGGATCAACAACGCAATGACAGTGTTCACAGCAGCCTTGACTGATCACAAGATCCTGTTCCACTCATTCAGCTACTCACGGTTGACGGCAACAGCCCATGCCTTTGTGTCTCTCATGTACCCTCTCAAATATAGGTGAGTTTTGTACCCTCTCAAATATAGGTGAGTTTTGTACCCTCTCAAATATAGGTGAGTTTTGTACCCTCTCAAATATAGGTGAGTTTTGTACCCTCTCAAATATAGGTGAGTTTTGTACCCTCACAAATATAGGTGAGTTTTGTACCCACTCAAATATAGGTGAGTTTTGTACACTCTCAAATATAGGTGAGTCATGTACCCACTCAAATATAGGTTAGTCATGTACCCACTCAAATATAGGTGAGTCATGTACCCACTCAAATATAGGTGAGTCATGTACCCACTCAAATATAGGTGAGTCATGTACCCACTCAAATATAGGTGAGTCATGTACCCACTCAAATATAGGTGAGTCATGTACCCACTCAAATAGAGAGCAGTCTTGTAACTTCTCAAGTATAGGGGAGTCATGTACCCTCTTAGATATGAGTGAGTTTTGTACCCACTCAAATATAGGGGAGTCTTGTTCCCAGTCAAATATAGGAGAGTCTTATACCCACTCAAATATTGGTGTGTCTCTAAAATATTAACAGAAAAACGCGAAGTCCACTGATCCTTGAGAATTTCTCTTTAGTAATTTCAACTGAGGGCTCGCTGAAATAGTTCTTAGGTTAAAGACAAGAACATTCTTCAGTTAAAATGTTAAAAGTTAAATACGACCATGTCCACTGCAGTGAATGTAACAGTGCAGCCCTTGTCTGACGATGCAGCGTTTGTGTTTCAGCTACGTGTACATCCCTATCCTCCCAGCCTCCCTGCTGGAGGTACTCAACACGCCCACACCTTTCATTGCGGGTGTGCACGCCTCCCTGCGCAATGACGTGGTTGATTTGGTAGGTCACGTACGTATCTATTTGCCGCCTCTGTGATGATCCTGGGTCGCATGCTTTGCTGCCTTCCACTGGTATGTTTCTAGAGTTGTTGCATCAACCAGCAGCATCACACGATGTCACCTTTACCCGGCTAGTGCCTCCAAGAAATCCACTTACTATCCTGGGCACCATTCCACAAAGTGATCTTAGCGCTAGGACTGTCGTAGGTCTAAGTTAAAGTATGGGAGTTACGATCGTCTCAGCGCTACAATCACTTTGTGGAACGGGGCCCTGCCTGCATAGATTAATAATCATGTTTAGGGGTGTTGGAATAGCCTCGTTGTTCTTCCGTTGTCTCGCATTCCCGAAGAAATCAGCTTAGTATTCACATCTGTTAAATGCAGATAATCATGATGGGGTAGCCTAGTGTTTAAAGTGGGCAGGAAGATCGCTTGGTGTCAGCTCCGTGATATTGCTGGAAAAGCCAACCTCACTCACACAGTCCTTCATCAGCATGTGATGTGAAATCATTCAATATGAAGGCACCTAACTATGTCACTAACTCTCCTACATAGGTACATAGTTTTCTCTACGAACACACACACACACACACTCACACTCACAGTTTTTATTAAATGGGTTTTTTTCAAATATGATTAATATGATATTGATAATCTTATTAATGGATTAATTATGATATCATTTCTGATTTTTTATCAATATCATATTTTTATGTTTTTTCAAAGTCTTACCAAGTATCATTTGTAATGTTATCAAAATTATTTGCACCACTCTTTGTCATTACACTGATGTTTCTTGACTTTATTCACAACACTTCTGATTATGATCACCCAAATATTGATGAGTTCTTCTCCTCCATGACTTGTTGCTATGTTTAATTTGCGGCTTCAGTACTGGTCACTGCATGTGCATAACAGATGCTGTGTTGAGTCATGCATGAGTTCAAGACTTGCTTCCTGTGGAGTTGTGAAGGGTTCCCTTGACTGACTGAATGATGAATCATTGCTTCCTGTGGAGTTGTGAAGGGTTCCCTTGACTGACTGAATGATGAATCATTGCTTCCTGTGGGGTTGTGAAGGGTTCCCTTGACTGACTGAATGATGAATCATTGCTTCCTGTGGAGTTGTGAAGGGTTCCCTTGACTGAGTGAATGATGAATCATTGCTTCCTGTGGAGTTGTGAAGGGTTCCCTTGACTGAGTGAATGATGAATCATTGCTTCCTATGGATTTGTGAAGGGTTCCCTTGACTGAGTGAATGATGAATCATTGCTTCCTGTGGAGTTGTGAAGGGTTCCCTTGACTGAGTGAATGATGAATCATTGCTTCCTATGGATTTGTGAAGGGTTCCCTTGACTGACTGAATGATGAATCATTGCTTCCTGTGGAGTTGTGAAGGGTTCCCTTGACTGACTGAATGATGAATCATTGCTTCCTGTGGAGTTGTGAAGGGTTCCCTTGACTGACTGAATGATGAATCATTGCTTCCTGCAGGGTTGTGAAGGGTTCCCTGGACTGAATGATGAATCATTGCTTCCTGTAGAGTTGTGAAGGGTTCCCCTGACTGAATGATGAGTCAATGCTTCCTGTGGAGTTGTGAAGGGTTCACTTGACTGAATGATGATATTATGCTTTTGTTTTCAAGTAACTAAAATTTTATGTCATTGTGTAGTGGCTTTGTTTTGATTATGTACAATGTCACTATAATCAGACCTGTTACTCTGATACCATACCTCTCTGCTTGAAGATCTGAGGACCCTCCCCGGGAGTTGTGTCAGATTAACCGTGCGCTTTCTTTTACTGCCCAGTTTAAATGAAGGATGCGTTGGCTCTTGAGAAAATCAGATGTCAGCTTTCTAAGAACATTTGGCTTCATTTCTTTAGCACCTTGATTTGAAAGTTTTAATTTGTACAAAAGAATATCCACTCATTATGAGCCGGTCATTTTGGCTCTTTTGCAAGATACAGAAATCAGACACCAAGAATTTAAGAGCCTCAACACTGACAATCAGGTTAGAAAACTCACCTGACCCAATGGAATCGTCCTCAGATCTTAATGCAGAGAGGTATCATATTGGAGTATCTTATTTTAATGAGGTTGTTTATACCTTTGCTTCATATTCATGATTGGAGTATCTTGTTTTAATGAGGTTGTGTATACCTTTGCTGTATATTGGAGTATCTTGTTTAATGAGGTTGTTTATACCTTTGCTTCATATTGGAGTATCTTGTTTTAATGAGGTTGTGTATACCTTTGCTTTATATTGGAGTATCTTGTTTTAATGAGGTTGTGTATATCTTTGCTGTATATTGAAGTATCTTGTTTTAATGAGGTTGTGTATACCTTTGCTTCATATTGGAGTATCTTGTTTTAATGAGGTTGTGTATATCTTTGCTGTATATTGGAATATCTTATTTTAATGAGGTTGTGTATGCCTTTGCTGTATATTGGAGTATCTTGTTTTAATGAGGTTGTGTATACCTTTGCTGTATATTGGAGTATCTTGTTTTAATGAGGTTGTGTATACCTTTGCTTTATATTGGAGTATCTTGTTTTAATGAGGTTGTGTATATCTTTGCTTCTTAGTGAGTCGGTTAGGAAGTTTATTAAATCTTTGTTCTGTTATCATGAATACTGTAGATCCAAAAGCCACCAAAGCTTTGTTTGAGATGGGTATATCTTTGCTATCAGTTTCTCTTTTCTTTCCTGATTGAAACGAGCAGCAGAATGGCCATTACTCAACTCGACTTATACATCATGAGGACTCTCTCTCTCCCCCCCCCCTACAGTTTCATTCTCAGGAATACATCTTTGCATGCTTGAGGATCATTTAGAAAAGTCTCCTCATTTGTTAGAGGGTGCGGTTTTGATTTTTGCTCAATGCCAAACTCATTTGAGGCAGCAGATAGTTAATGTTATTGTTGGTGTTATTCTGTAATTATTTTTACAGTACTGATGACTTATTTCGGATCTTTCAGTTGGATGTGATAATTGTTGACCTAGACGGAGGCAGTGTGAGGATACCAGAGTGTGTCAGCATCCCCAGCATCCCTGACCCCATACTGAACAGGACCATGAAAGCTTTAACCAGGGTGAGTACCCCTTTAACTATCTCTCTGATCCCCTACTGAACAGGACCATGAGAGCTTTAACCATGGTGAGTACCCCTTTAACTGTCTCTCTGATCCCCTACTGAACAGGACCATGAAAGCTTTAACCAGGGTGAGTACCCCTTTAACTGTCTCTCTGATCCCCTACTGAACAGGACCATGAGAGCTTTAACCATGGTGAGTACCCCTTTAACTGTGTCTCTGATCCCCTACTGAACAGGACCATGAGAGCTTTAACCATGGTGAGTACCCCTTTAACTGTCTCTCTGTTCCCCTACTGAACAGGACCATGAAAGCTTTAACCATGGTGAGTACCCCTTTAACTGACCCGATTCTGAACAGGACTGGGATAACTTAAACCATAATCATAGTCATAGTCATTGCTCATTATACCAGTCACTGGATTGTCTGGCCCAGACTTGATTATTTACAGGCCTTCATCATGTTGTTGGGCTATTGCTGAATGCTGACTGTGTTTGTTGACTGTGTTGTTCTCATGTTGATAATATCCATGTTGTAGATTCAAAATACAGAATTACTGAGTGCTGACTATGCATTTCCTCCATCACCACGGAAACCCTCCCCTGCTACTCAGAGAGTAAGTATCTACTGACACAGTTGTACACAAGAACAATGTTGACAGTGTGTTGTACTTTATACTGACACAGTTGTACACAAGAACAATGTTGACAGTGTGTTGTACTTAATACTGACACAGTTGTACACAAGAACAATGTTGACAGTGTGTTGTACTTTATACTGACACAGCTATACACAAGAACAATGTTGACAGTGTGTTGTACTTTATACTGACACAGTTGTACACAAGAACAATGTTGACAGTGTGTTGTACTTTATACTGACACAGTTATATACAAGAACAATGTTGACAGTGTGTTGTACTTTATACTGACACAGTTATATACAAGAACAATGTTGACAGTGTGTTGTACTTTATACTGACACAGTTATATACAAGAACAATGTTGACAGGGTGTTGTACTTTATACTGACACAGCTATATACAAGAACAATGTTGACAGATTGTTGTACTTTATACTGACACAGCTATGTACAAGAACAATGTTGACAGTGTGTTGTACTTTATACTGACACAGTTACACACAAGAACAATGTTGACTTGATAGAAGAATATCATGATTTGGCATTAAAAGAAAACAGTGACATGCATCAAGAAACATATATCAGGCACAGACAAATAAGCATCAACTGTTTCCCTTCCTCTTCCTGATGTATTTTTATCAGGGTTTTATAGATATAAGTGTTAGCCATTCTTGGTAAGTGACTTGTTGAGTTGTAGAAGTTGAGCTGCCTGGTGGCTGCTGCACATGTAACATTAGGAAGCCCGTTATGGCGCCAACCACTGAAGACAACAGACAGGCTGTGACAGATATATCTGAAATACTGTTCAGACCAAACCCCTTCACTCACTCTGTGACCACTCTGCCTTCAGGACAAGGAGATCCGGGCTGTGTTCATCCGCATGTTTGCCGATATCTTCACTGGTTATCGTTCTTGTCTCACCATCATCCGTATCCATCCCGAACCTTTCATCACATTTCATAAGGTAAGCGACGTGTCATGTACATTCGTTACAGATATTGATGGTGAAAAAAAAACAATATGAAAGGCCTTACCAATCACTAATCCCTTGGTACCAGTAAAGATCCTTGCTTGTTGTAAGAGGCGACTAAAGGGATCGGGTGGTCAGGCTTACTGACTTGGTTGATGCATGTCATCGTATCCCAATTTCGTGGAATGATGCTTGTGATTTCAATCACTGGATTGTCTGGTCCAGAGTCGATTATTGACAGGCCGCCATTATATAGCTGGAATATTGCAGAGTGTGGTGTTAAACAACAAAGAAATTAATCCCTGGCGGTAGAGGGTGCAGAATAGGTTCACCTCACCCAATGGGTGCTTGATTAATGGGATTTGGATGGTTACAATGTTTGACCTAGTTACTTGCACGTCATTGTACCTCGCTGTCAACCACTGGTTTGCCCTGTCAGCTCTCTGAGGCACAGCTGTAACACTGCAGACTGAATGTAAAACCACATGGAGTCACTCAATACTGCATGCGTGGAGTGTCTGTTCAGTTGCATGACTCACCACTTTGGGAGCCCGGTGGTCAGGCTCTGTCACTTGGTTGTAGGCATGGGACAGTTCATTATATCCAACACTGACTGTGATGTAAAGCAGCAAAAACGTCTTTTTGTGACCAACAACTAATGATGCCCACATTAACAAGTGTGTTGTGTTTTCCAGGCCAGTTTTTTAGGTCAGCGAGGTATGGTTGATGATGATTTTATCCTACGTGTGCTGGACGGGATGGGCTTCGGTGCGTTCGTGGCTGAGAGGGGGCCGCCATACAGAGTCTGTGATATTTTTGATGAGGTACGTCAGTTTGGAATCATTTTGTCAAATCCTAGCCTCACAGAGTTTTTATTTCCAAGAAATTGAACCTTCAGAGTGAGTTTGAGAATCTGAAATAATGCATTATACTGTTCCTATGTGGATTGTAAGTAGCTTCAAGAATTGCAGAACAGAAAGCATGTTGTTAATGTTGTAACACTGGTGTAATAATGAAGCAACATACCGGTGTTATAATGCTTAGCGAGGCAACATACCGGTGTAATAATGCTTTGCGAGGCACCATACCTATGTAATAATGAAGCAACAAATCCGGTGTAATAATGCTTAGCGAGGCAACATACCGGTGTAATAATGCTTAGCGAGGCAACATACCAGTGTAATAATGAAGCAACATACCGGTATAATAATGCTTAGAGAGGCAAGATACTGGTGTAATAATGCTTAGAGAGGCAACATACCGGTGTTATAATGCTTAGAGAGGCAACATACCTGTGTAATTATGCTTAGAGAGGCAACATACCTGTGTAATAATGCTCAGAGAGGCAACATACCTGTGTAATAATGCTCAGAGAGGCAACATACCTGTATAATAATGTTTAGGGAGGCAACATACCTGTGTAATAATGCTCAGAGAGGCAACATGCGTGTGTAATAATGCTTAGAAAGGCAACATAGCTGTGTAATAATGATTAGAGAAGCAACATACCGGTGTTATAATGCTCAGAGAGGCAACATACCTGTGTAATAATGCTTAGAGAGGCAACATACTGGTGTTATAATGCTCAGAGAGGCAACATACCTGTGTAATAATGCTCAGAGAGGCAACATGCCTGTGTAATAATGCTTAGAAAGGCAACATAGCTGTGTAATAATGATTAGAGAGGCAACATACCGGTGTTATAATGCTCAGAGAGGCAACATACCTGTGTAATAATGCTTAGAGAGGCAACATACCGGTGTTATAATGCTTAGAAAGGCAACATACCTGTGTAATAATGCTCAGAGAGGCAACATGCGTGTGTAATAATGCTTAGAAAGGCAACATAGCTGTGTAATAATGATTAGAGAAGCAACATACCGGTGTTATAATGCTCAGAGAGGCAACATACCTGTGTAATAATGCTTAGAGAGGCAACATACTGGTGTTATAATGCTCAGAGAGGCAACATGCCTGTGTAATAATGCTCAGAGAGGCAACATACCTGTGTTATAATGCTCAGAGGCAACATACCTGTGTAATAATGTTCAGAGAGGCAACATACCTGTGTTATAATGCTCAGAGGCAACATACCTGTGTAATAATGCTCAGAGAGGCAACATACCTGTGTAATAATGCTTAGAGAGGCAACATACCTGTTTAATAATGCTGCTCAGATAAAGCATACCCAATAATGCTCAGAGTGACAAGACCAGTATCCAGGACAACGTGCAGCATGATAAGTATGACCATGTTCCTCCCTGAGCTGATGTGTGTGTCTGTGCAGGTGTATGCCACTATGCAAGACCACCTGCGGGAAGAGCGGCTGAACCCCGACAAGATGATGGAACATGTGAAGGACCTGGCTCACCAGCTGCATCTCCATGTAAGAACTCACAACAGTGCTCCGCGATCTCTTTATTTACAAGGGCTGGCTATCACTACAGATCAATTATCGATAAGTATCAGAGAAGTAACTTTGAGCAAATTGGCAAAAATAGTCCCAAAGAACATCAACACACTTCATGCCACTGGTGAGTGGGGACACGTTTATGCATGGATTACTCTGTGTTTGGCAATTGACATGATTGATAATAATAAGTCTGTTTTGGTAAATTAAGGCTTTATTTCATCACAATTGTTTATGTAAGATATGGATGACACAATTTTCAAACCACATCCTCGCCCCGTAACTCTCCCAATCCTTAACCACAACCTCACCCCCAACCTCTCCCCATCCTAAACCACATCCTCACCCGCAACCTCTCCCCATCCTAAACCACATCCTCCCCCCAAACTCTCCCCATCCTTAACCACAACCTCGCCCCCAACCTCTCCCAATCCTTAACCACAACCTCACCCCCAACCTCTCCCCATCCTAAGCCCCAACCTAAGCCCCAACCTCTCCCCATCCTAAACCACATCCTCAACCCCTCTTCCATCCTAAACCACAACCTCGCCCCAACCCACCCATGTGTGACACCCTTCTTTGATGTTCCCTCCTTGCTATGGCTGGAATGTCCCGACAAGCACTCACCCAACCCACTCACCACCACAGGAATCCTAATCCTTGTTTACTCTCAAACGCCCATCACTGTATACAAGAACCAGGTCTATGTTTCACAAAGGGATCTGATTGCTACTTTTATGTTTGGTCCATGGTCAAGTATCGGTGTTAAGATCATCTTAGCGCTAAGATCTCTTTGTGGAACGGGGCCCTGGAATGAAATGCACTCACCCAGAATGTGCACCCAACTGATATCGGTTGTGTTCAACTTTGTCGTAAACATTTAATGTATGATGTATTTATTATCAGAACTTGTTATTCCTGTGTACTCACTGCAGTTCACAAGGTTTAGGTGTCAGTCTGCTGACAGGGGTGGGATGTATGTAAGCCGTGTACATGTTGCTGATGCAGTTCACCAGGTTTAGGTGTCAGTCTGCTGACAGGGGTGGGATGTATGTAAGCCATGTACATGTTGCTGATGCAGTTCACCAGGTTTAGGTGTCAGTCAGCTGACAGTGGTGGGATGTATGTAAGCCCGTGTACATGTTGCTGATGCAGGAGAACCCCAACCCCCAGCCGTACGTCCAGAAGGTCCCCAAGCCAACAGAAGGAGCGTACGCCCGCATCCACCAGCCACCATTCCAGATGTTGAACGCCAACACAGTGCAGGACATCATCGACGAGGGCCTCGCCAAACACAGTATTAAGTCTAAGTGAGTGCCATGGTCTTGTGATGGGAAAACCCATTTACTGTTTCAAACTTGTTCCAGTCTGGTGGGTAGCTTAGTGGTTAATTGCTGAGAGTGGCGTAAAAAAACAGCTCACTCACCTGGGGTAGAAACTAACATATTTAGTCTACTAGTCCTTATAAGGATAACATATAACAAAACCCTTAAAAATGGCAAATTTCTTCTAGTCCTTATGATACTTTAGCTATTGGGCAGTTTGGCAAGAACTACAGGACTAGTACCAATTTCTAACGCTGCTCATTCATTCACTCAGTCACTCAAACTTATTTCACCAAAGAAGTGTACATCTGAGACTCGCATCACTTCGGTTTTTCCTCCCCCATTTCACTGCCCCATGTCGTGACGTAACTGAAATAAGGTTCCAAGCGGCATAAAACCAAACTCACTTCCCCCACATTGTTCCTGCAGGTTGGCCAACGTTCGTCCACACCAGTGTCGGATCGTGCCGATGGGCATGCCGATCACGGCTCTCGCAGACAAGCAGAGGATGGTGGAGAACAACGCGCGGAGGCTGGAGGTGCTCAGGAACTGTGTCAACTTCATCTTCGAAAACAAGATCTCAGATGCAAGAATTGTAAGTTTCTGTGACAACCAAAATTAATCATTAGATTTAGATGTCTGGGTACCATAATATGGTTCAGAAGTTGGTCAAGCCTATGCAGCCCTCTAAGTAGCAACTATTTTGGTGGCCAATGCATTTAAAATCTATGATTTGCGACCTACATTTGTCTACTGCTTGTCACTTGGGCCCATGTCAGAATTCCTAGAGTGAACCCTGTAAGGGGCTGCTATGTTTGTTGGATTCCCATGAAGGTACACTATGTGCAGCCCACTCTACAGGGATATTGTGGGACTCCTCCGTCTCTACTCACTCCACCAATACAGTGTTCACAATTAACCATGCAAGTCAAGGTGTCCATGTCATGTCACAAGTGTAAAGATTGAAAGATTTAGGGAGTGCCTAGCTGTAAACACCGCTGGAGCTAGGACTTCATGTAGCCTAGGACCCAGGTTAAGTTAGAACACTGCAATATATTTCTCTTCTTTTGATTCATATTCTGTTATTGAAAACCTAAGAAAAAATGACAGACTTGTTTCCATGGTGATTCAAAGCCCAGGAAATATTGAATACCTGGATCACACATATATAATGTGACTGTCTCCTTCAGATATTCCCCGCGGTGCTGCGAGCGCTGAAGAGTCGTGTGGCACGGCTGGCACTGACGCAAGAGTTGAACTACCACGTGCAGTCTAACCGGGCTATGCTGGAGAATCAGCAGTTCGACCTGGTCGTTAAGCTTCTCAACTGTGCTCTACAGAACGACTCGAACCTGGATGAAAGTGGGGTGGCCGCTGCCATGGTGCCTCTTGTCACTGCATTCTGTCGAGTAAGTATTTCCCAGGTTGTAAGACCAGTTGGCAACTTTAGCCACTGGTCTGAAGCACACATTTAGACAAATGCTTTTTGTTCTAGTAATAACAGTAAAAATTACTCAATATGAATGTGGGGCGGTGGGATAGCCTAGTGGTTAAAGCATTCACTCATCACACCAAAGACCCCAGTTCGATTCCCAACATGAATACAATGTGTGAAGCCTGTTTCTGGTGTCCCCCGCCGTGATATTGCTGTTGCTAAAAGCAGCCGAAAACCATACTCAATATAAATCTGACCCCTGTTCGGTCAAGTCGACTTGAACATTTTTATCATGGGCTGTAAAATTATCTCAGTGGGAAAAATATGAAACTAAAGGATAAGTTTATCCACAATGAACTATTGATATATTACTGACTGACATGTCTTTTGATGACAGTAGGTCGGACAAGGATGGCACAGTCGTCTAGGTGCTGCAATTTACAATGCAGAGTTGCATCCCTTAGCTGTGCCGGAATACGTATGGGTTTGAATCCCCATTCGCCCCTGATTATGTTTAAATGTTTGTAAAAGTTTGCACAGTGGTGATCGTTGATGACGTGCATCACTTTGGGCTTTCCTTCCAACATGAACCTGACACAATAACTGAAATACTGTTCAGAGCAGCTTTAAACCAAATTCACTCACTCACTCATTCTGATAATATACTCACTGCTACAAGAAACGCAAACTATAGAAAAATAAAGAGAAGTATGTACGTTATGAAGAGATGTTTCCACTGTGTACCACTTAGTTCACGCAACATAACAGTACGTTCGTTTGTGTACCACTTAGTTCACGCAACATAACAGTACGTTCGTTTGTGTACCACTTAGTTCACGCAACATAACAGTACGTCCGTTTGTGTACCACTTAGTTCACGCAACATAACAGTACGTTCGTTTGTGTACCACTTAGTTCACGCAACATAACAGTACGTTCGTTTGTGAACCAGTTAGTTCACGCAACATAACAGTACGTTCGTTTGTGTACCACTTAGTTCACAGAACATATCAGTACGTCCGTTTGTGTACCACTTAGTTCACGCAACATAACAGTACGTCCGTTTGTGTACCACTTAGTTCACAGAACATATCAGTACGTCCATTTGTGTACCACTTAGTTCACGCAACATAACAGTATGTTCGTTTGTGAACCAGTTAGTTCACGCAACATAACAGTATGTTCGTTTGGAAACCAGTTAGTTCACGCAACATAACAGTATGTCCATTTGTGTGTCAAGCTAATCTACTATCTCTGGAATAGGAGTAATTCTTCATATATTGCTAATTGTGTATTTGTTGTGCAGAAACTGTGTACGGGAGTGCTGCAGTTCGCCTACACCTGTGTCCAGGACCATGCCGTGTGGGCCAACCTGCAGTTCTGGGAGCAAGCCTTCTACCAGGACGTACAGAAGCAGATCCGGCAGCTCTACCTGCCGCAGTACGAGGAACACCTGGTGGTCAATGTCAGCCGGGAGGGGTCCCGCAGTCCGTCGACACCCAGAGAGGTACAACACCGTAGGGGGCAATGTGTTCCACGGTCTGGTGCCTATTTCCTGCCAGGCCAGATTTTGTAGTTAGTGCCTTGTGTGAAACCTCAACATTGTCTCAGTGTAATTAGGGGAATAATTAACTGCTCGATCAATATGTATTAGATAAGTTTAACTTGCACACAAGCCAAGTTTCCTGGTGTTTCAGTCATAGTTGATGGGACTGTCAAAAAGCTTGAGTCTAGTGCCCCTTTAAAGGTCCTCACCTATGAATGCATTTCACTGCATATTCCCCTTGGGAAATTCCAAATCAAAAGTCTTTACTGTCCATGAGTGGTAATATGTTTTTCTTTTTCTTTTGCCAGACTGGGGACTCAATTAGCAGTTGGAGTAGATCGTCATCAACGACGTCAGACTCTCGGCGGTCAGGTTCTGCATACAAGACCCGGGAAATTGGTGCTCTGGAGATAGCAGCTGAACAGGTAGGGTGGAGACTGTTTGTTTGTTTGTTTGTTCCATCCAATTGGGATATGATGACAGGCATCCACCAAGTCAGTAATCCTGACAACCCGATCCAGTTAATTACCTCTTACGACAAGCATGGGGTGCTGAAGACCTATTCTAACCCAGATGTACATGGAAAGGGTTGAGACTGAGATCAGCTGGATTTAGAATAGAATCGTAGCATCTCCTGCTTGATCCCAGAGTTGACTGAAAGGGTCAGGTTGTTACAATGTGGCACCTGGCAGCATGACACAACTCACTCCCATTTCAGTCTCTGGGCACAACGTAGTCATGATTGTGAGTATGAACCACTGTACTCCAAGATAAGAGCCTTAATAAGGGTTCATGCTATCAACCACTGGTTTCTCTAGCACAGACTGCATGTTATAGCGCTGGAGTATCACTGACTGCAGTGTAAAACAATATTCACTCACTCACTCCTTTCAATCACTGGAGGTGTGGTCGGGTGGCCTAGTGGTTTAAGCATTCACTCACAGAAGATCCAGGTCGATTGCCCCACATGGGTACAATGTGTGAAGCCCCTTTCTGGCTGGCTGGGGGGTGGTCGGGTAGCCTAGTGGTTAAAGCGTTCGCTTGTCACGCCGAAGACCCGGGTTCGATTCCCGACATGGGTACAATGTGTGAAGCCCATTTCTGGTGTCCCCCGCCGTGATATTGCTGAAATATTGCTAAAAGCGACGTAAAACCATACTCACTCACTCACTCACTCACTCACTCACTCTGGCTGGCTGACTTGGTTGATGTATGCCATCGTATCCCAATTGCATGGAGCGATGCTCATGATGTCAATCACTGGATTGTGTTGTCCAGACTCGATTATTTACAGACTGAATATATTTACAAATAGCTGGAATATTGCTGAGTGTGGTGTTAAACAACAAACAAACAACAAACAAAACCCTGGAACACCATGACATTACTTGAATACTGTTCAAAGTGGCATTAAACCCAACTCACAAAACGGCTGAGAGAATGCTGACACATTTGTAATTTGTTAGCACTCTCTGGATGCAAAACAAGTGAAGCAATCTTGACAGTGACTGCATACAATGACTGCACACAATGACTGCATACAATGACTGCATACAATGACTGCATACAATGACTGCACACAATGACTGCACACAATGACTGCACACAATGACTGCACACGATGACTGCACACGATGACTATACACAATGACTGCATACAATGACTGCACACAATGACTGCACACGATGACTGCACACGATGACTGCACACGATGACTGCATACAATGATGACTATACACAATGACTGCATACAATGACTGCACACAATGACTGCACACGATGACTGCATACAATGATGACTATACACAATGACTGCATACAATGACTGCACACGATGACTGCACACGATGACTGCATACAATGATGACTATACACAATGACTGCATACAATGACTGCACACGATGACTGCACACGATGACTGCATACAATGATGACTATACACAATGACTGCATACAATGATGACTGCACACGATGACTGCATACAATGATGACTGCACACGATGACTACATACAATGATGACTGCACACGATGACTGCACACGATGACTGCATACAATGATGACTGCACACGATGACTGCACACGATGACTGCATACAATGATGACTGCACACGATGACTGCACACGATGACTGCACACGATGACTGCATACAATGATGACTGCACACGATGACTGCATACAATGATGACTGCACACGATGACTGCACACGATGACTGCATACAATGATGACTGCACACGATGACTGCACACGATGACTGCATACAATGATGACTGCACACGATGACTGCATACAATGATGACTGCACACGATGACTGCACACGATGACTGCATACAATGATGACTATACACAATGACTGCATACAATGATGACTGCACACGATGACTGCATACAATGATGACTATACACAATGACTGCATACAATGATGACTGCACACAATGACTGCATACAATGATGACTGCACACGATGACTGCACACGATGACTGCACACGATGACTGCATACAATGATGACTGCACACGATGACTGCACACGATGACTGCATACAATGATGACTATACACAATGACTGCATACAATGATGACTGCACACAATGACTGCATACAATGATGACTGCACACGATGACTGCATACAATGATGACTGCACACGATGACTGCACACGATGACTGCACACGATGACTGCATACAATGATGACTGCACACGATGACTGCACACGATGACTGCATACAATGATGACTATACACAATGACTGCATACAATGATGACTGCACACGATGACTACACGATGACTGCATACAATGATGACTATACACAATGACTACACACAATGACTATGAGAGTTGTAACAATCAACCAATACCCATGATATCATCAATACTTAGGTTCAGACGATACTCGAATCGTCAGTTTGTGAGATCGCGATTCGCTAACAATGAACAGGAACTGATAGAGTTACCTCTCGTAATGGCAGAAGTAGCCATAGGGCAGCTTGTTGAATGGCAGAACATGAGGTGATGGGGATAGAGGACGCCCCCACTAACTATTACATTTCATAACCATCCCTTCACTTCAAACTGTTTTGTTCTTGTTTTTTGTTTATTATAAGTGTTTGTTTTTGAGATTATTATAAATATGTGTGAAGTAAGAGGTTTTAGAGTTGTATTTCAGTGATTTCATCATTTCTTACTATTTGTTCTGGTGTATCGTGATACCAGTGGTATTGTCAGCTTGTATCGTGATACCTATCGTATCACAAGATACCAGGCGATACTCAGCTCTCATGACTATATACACTATGTCCGTGGTGTTGCAGCTGCGCATCTACACAACGCTGAACAAGATGACCCAGCAGGAGCTGATCAACAACGAGGAGTCGACGGTGTACAGCCAGGCCATCCACTACGCCAACAGGATGGTGTTCCTGCGGGTGCCGCTCGACGTCAGTCGATCACTGAAAAACACCCAGGGCCTGGACGGCGAGAGCAACAGCAACAGCAACATCACAGCTAGGTCAGTGTCTTTGCAGTAACCCAACAATCTCATTAAAATCAGATCCTAGTTCTCGCTACAGCTAAACAAAGATCTGACCGACCAATGGAATAACCAACAAGAAGTTACGCAATAGCCAGCTTTATCGAGCTCTACAGCACGAGTTTCAAACTTCGACTACGCTTCGAAACATATCTTGACATAAACTCGATTAAAAAATTAAAAACTGAACAAAAGATCATTCTGGAATGGCTAATTGATTGTGTGAATACAGACATAAAGCCCATAACTGTCGTTCGTAATACCCTGAGTGGTTTGTTTTTTTCGAAGTTGCACGATAAAAAATCACATTCCAACTGTCACTTTCATGATCTTCTTAGCGATTCTCTGATTGATCAGATGAAAGGTCGTTCTGACACGACACGCAATGGGATGTCCTCAGATCTTTGTTTAGTGAAAACTAAGATCTGGTTTTAATGAGATTGAATAACCTAAGGAAGGAGTAACACAAATATCTAACTCGCCATTACTGGTGAAACAGTTCACTTTGCAGTTGAACCCTGTTTGCTAATCTGGAAGCCTGTCTTCCAGGTGTTGAGGAAATTTCATGGAGTATGGGACATTGGTTCTTACTCCTGGTGCATTAATCTGAAAAGTTGTTACTCAGGAAGAATTGAAATTCTTTGTGAATGGTACCTCCCAGGTTAAAGGGGTTTCACTGTAGTAAGATGTATACACATTGGGTAAACCATTTAATTTGGTCTGGAATAAATTCAAATTGTCATAAAATGGCAGATGACATATTCAGTCCTAATGTAAACTGTTTTGTTCTGTTATGTATTCAACATGTTGGTGTGTGTGCCCGTGAAGATCCGGGTTAGAAGAGGTCTTCAGCAACCCATGCTTGCCGTAAAAGGCGACTATGCTTGTCGTTAGAGGTGACTAACGGGATCAGGTAGTCAGGCTCAATGACTTGGTTGATGCATGTCATTGTATACCAGTTGCGTGGATCGATGCTCATGATGTCAATCACTGGATTGTCTGGACCAGACTCAATTTTTTACAGACCGCTGTCATATAGCTGGAATATTGCTGAATGCGGCATTAAACAACAAACAAACAATTGCGTTGATCAATGCTCTTGATGTCAATCACAAGATTGTCTGCTCCAGACTAGATTGTTTACAGACCGCCGTCATATAGCTGGAATATTGCTGAGTGTGGCGTTAAACCACAAACAAACAGACAAACATAATGGTGTGTGTATTTGTCAGTTTTTCTTTGATGTTTTCAGTATTGCTGAAAGTGACAGCTTTGACGCTGAGAGTGGGTTTGATGAGACCGAGACAGTAGACGTGGGGTCGACAGTTGTGAGGTTCGTGACCAGGTTTGTGGACAAGGTCTGCTCCGAGGGAGGAGTCACACAGGAGCACATCAAGTCCCTCCATCAGATGATTCCAGGTGAGTTACAGGTGACACACAGGTGACACACAGGTGACACATCAGGTGCATGGTTTGCCCGTGTACCGATATACCAGGGTGTGAAATGCTAATGAAAAGGTATCACAATACGTTTGGAAAATACCTGCATATTTCATTTTTTTCAATATCATGCATATTTTCGTCTTATTGGCAAAGTTTACATAAGTGACAATAAGTGAGAAAATGAAATTCAGAACTTGAACTTTCCTATAATGGAAAACAATTTGCGACCAACGTCCGTACACGTGCATTGTGACCATAGCAACATCCAACAAACTTGTTCTGTAAAAGGTTCATAACAAATTACATTTGAAAGAAGGCATGCAATTTGTTGTGGTTCGCATCACAATACATGAACCATTACTGCAATAAATTGTGATGCAAAAGTCAGACCAGATGAGTCGCCGTTATTTCCTGGTGTTACGTCATGTCTCTCTGTTAAACTTTCAGTCCATTATGTCCTTCCTTTTTTATTTTTGAGCTTCTCATATATATATCAGGTTCTTTCTGTCAGCATTATCTCTAGACATGTGGCCATCATTTAGGTCAATTTACAACATAGATAATGGGCCAGTGGCTCACTGAGGTCCAACCCTGGAGTTGTCACTGTGAGTGCCATGTGGTTGTCTCCCCTAGGTGTGGTGGCCATGCATATCGAGACCCTGGAGAACGTCCACAAGGAGAGCAAGAGGCTGCCACCAATACAGAAGGTGAGAGGTGATGGGGAGTAGTGTCCCTTGGATTTCAGGATCCGCTGATCTTGGATTTGATTCCCAGATTTGCCCGCTTATGATCCTTGCCTTTTGTAGAGATAACACAAGTTAAAGACAACACAGTAGTTCCTACCATGGAGAGTTGTGTCCCTTGGATCGCAGGATCCGCTGATCTTGGATTTGATTCCCAGATTTGCCCGCTTATGATCCTTGCCTTTTGTAGAGATAACACAAGTTAAAGACAACACAGTAGTTCCTACCATGGAGAGTTGTATCCCTTGGATCGCAGGATCCGCTGATCTTGGATTTGATTCCCAGATTTGCCCGCTTATGATCCTTGCCTTTTGTAGAGATTACACAAGTTAAAGACAACACAGTAATTCCTACCATGGAGAGTTGTGTCCCTTGGATTCCAGGATATGCTGATCTTGGATTTGAAGTTCAGATTTACCAGTTTATGATCCTTGCCCTTTGTTGAGATAACACAAGTTAAAGACAACACAGTAGGGAGAGTTGTGTCCCTTGGATTCAGCAGGTGCCCGATCCCTATGCTTGTTGTAACCGACGGCTACAGTGGGAGCCACATGATTGAACTGGCTGTTGACCTGTATGGGGGCCACCTTCAGCTTACAGCTGGCACTTTGATGTGCTCTACTCAGTGGACCCAACTGTCTTGAAGAAATCAGCAATCAGTAACTGTGCATTACTTTTGTTATTGAAATGTTCGGAAATTGTACCAGTGTGTTATATATTCCTGTTATTCCAGCCGAAGATCCTCACTCCGTCCCTACTCCCGGGAGAGGAGGTTGTGATGGAAGGACTGCGGGTGTATCTCCTTCCGGACGGGCGCGAAGAAGGGCTCGGGGCGTACATGGGAGGACCCACGCTACTGCCAGCAGAGGGCGCTGTCTTCCTCACCACCTACAGGATCATCTTCAAGGGCACGCCGTGTGATCCTCTGTGTAAGTTGTATCCTGAAGCCGTAGCTGGGAGCATGTTGATGCTGTGACCCACTCTCATATTATATAGTCTCACCATAGAGTATACAGACGGCTTTAGTGCAGAGCCTCATCATATCATATTTTCGACATTGTATGCATTTCATAATGAATATGAAAAATGTTTCATTTTTTTTATACAGGTACCAATATATGGTTTAATCAGCGGTAGAAACTAACAGTTTTTATTGTCTAGCCCTTATAATGATAACATATAGCAAAACCCTTAAAAATGGCAAATTTCTGCTAGTCCTTATGACACCTTAACTATTTAGAAGGTGGCAATGCCTACAGGACTAGTGCAAATTGCTACCGCAGTTTAATGAGCTGATATATTGAGATTTGTGTGCATTTCATGATACATGTAACCGATAATAATTTGTTGTGTAGAGTCCAGTGCTAGAAGGTTTTAGGAGCTCCACCAGAATCTCTTGTGGGCTGGTTAACTAATAACTGTCCATGTGTAAAATCTTTTGAACATTATTCATGAAGGCTAGCTTGCAGAAAAGTTTTATTCACTCCCTGACAACAAGGCTGGGGCCTGTAATATCATACAAAGATTGTAACATGACATTGTCTCTACAAGTATATTTGTCCTGCATTGGTAGAACCTTATTGTAAACATATATACAACGTTAATAGAGAAACGGTATTGTAACGGTATGAATGTGATCCTTGTCCAGAGTTATGTTTTGTAAATTGAGGACCATTGTTCCCCTTCACTGCATTCCTGCACATTTGACACTGTTCGTGTGAAGTATACACTGTTGATGCCCGGCTCTAACTACACCTCTCTTGATGTTCCAGCTCTAAGTACACCTCTGTATACACTGTTGATGCCTCTGTTGATGTTCCAGCTCTAAGTACACCTCTGTATACACTGTTGATGCCTCTGTTGATGTTCCAGCGTGCGAGCAGATCGTGATCCGGTCGTTCCCAGTGGCCACGTTAACGAAGGAGAAGAAGATCAGTGTGCAGTACCTGCCTCACCTTGACCAGTGGCTGCAGGAGGGACTTCAGCTCAGGTCCAATGTGTTCCAGGTATGCAGTCGTAGTTGTAGTTTTAGATGCAGTCGTAGTTGTAATTAAATGTGTTCCAGGTATGCAGTCGTAGTTGTAGATGCAGTCGTAATTGTAGTTGTAGGTGCAGTTGTAGGTGCAGTTGTAGTTGTAGTCCAATGTGTTCCAAGTACGCAGTCGTAGTTGTAGTTGCAGTCATAGTCGTAGTCGTAGTTGTAACTCAATGTGTTCAAGGTACGCAGTCGTAGTTGTAAACGCAGTCTTAGTCATAGACGCAGTCGTAGGCGTAGTTGTAGTCCATTGTGTTCCAGGTATGCAGTTGGTAGTTGTAGTTGTACACGCAGTTGTAGTTGTAGTTGTAGTCATTGTCCAATGTGTTCCCGGTACACAGCCATAGTCAGTCAGGTGTGTTGTAGATATACAGCCATAGTCAGTCAGGTGTGTTGTAGGTATACAGCCATAGTCAGTCAGGTGTGTTGTAGGTATACAGCCATAGTCAGTCAGGTGTGTTGTAGGTATACAGCCATAGTCAGTCAGGTGTGTTGTAGGTATAAAGCCATAGTCAGTCAGGTGTGTTGTAGGTATACAGCCATAGTCAGTCAGGTGTGTTGTAGGTATACAGCCATAGTCAGTCAGATGTGTTGTAGGTATACATACACAGTCGTAGTCACAATCTATGTGATTGTCTTGACTGACGATGGGAATATATTATGAATTTTGCAGTTACCATGGAATAGTCATGATCGTTTATAATGTTTACATGATGATGATGATGATGATGATGATGATGACGACGACTATGGTGAATTGTCCAACAATTGTATGTGAATGATTTGATTATATGATGATGGTGATGATGATGATGATGATGATGACGGTGAATTGTGTAACAACTATATGTGAATGATTTGATTATATGATGATGGTGATGATGACGGTGAATTGTGTAACAACTATATGTGAATTATTTGATTATATGATGATGATGATGATGATGATGATGACGGTGAATTGTGTAACAACTATATGTGAATGATTTGATTATATGATGATGATGATGATGATGATGACGGTGAATTGTGTATGATGACGGTGAATTGTGTAACAACTATATGTGAATGATTTGATTATATGATGATGGTGATGATGATGACGGTGATGATGACGGTGAATTGTGTAACAACTATATGTGTCTGATTTGATTATATGATGATGATGATGGTGATGATGACGGTGATGATGAGGGTGAATTGTGTAACAACTATATGTGAATGATTTGATTATATGATGATGATGATGATGGTGATGATGACGGTGATGATGACTGTGAATTGTGTAACAACTATATGTGAATGATTTGATTATTATATGCCCATTTCTTGCATCTTGCAGTTGCTGAAGGTAGCATTTGATGAGGAGGTCGGGTCCGATAACGTCGAGACTTTCAGGAAGCTGGTGATTAAGATCCGCAACCCACCAAGTGTGTTCAACACCTTTGCGTTCACTGGTCACTTGATCCAGCAAGCCACGCCTCTACGTAAACAGAAGGAGAAGAACGCCTCACTCAGGTAACGGTCATGATCTTCTCAACCCCTATCGCCCTTCTGGGGCAACATCTCGCCACCAAGTTCCTTCTTGTAGAGGGTGACAAAACGGGAATTGGGTGGTCACAATGTGGAGGGATGATATCTGAGTTGTTTTCCAACTTGTGTTTTGTGTGGCGTTTGGTTGATTCTAATTTAGTGGAGTTTTACAGTTTACTTTCTTATTCAAAGTGTAATTGTGTATTCATGTGTAATTATTTGCAGGCAATTTGCCAAGAGAACCCTTCTGAAGACTGCAAGAAAAGCTGGGCTGAAATCCAAGCAGTCAAACAGAAAGACGAAGTATGTGTTGCCGACCCCACCAATGCAGAGACGGAACATATCGCCACGGTCATCGGACAGCGAGTCAGAGCGCCCCAACAGTGAAGCATTCGATGATCTCTCCAGTAGGAACAAAATTCTGACAACTCAATCAGAACATCTTTAACCTTAATCTCTAAACCTCTAAATATACTACTCATAAGAGTTAAGGAACGTTACATGACAGACTTGCCACATCATAGGAAAAAATCAGATGTTCTTTCACTTCTTTTTGGAAGTATATTTTCTAATTATCCCTTTTAACTTAGACAAATTGAGATTTTACTTAAAGGTATATCTTTAGTAACATATATATATCATAAGTAATGACATTATTAATTGTTAGAAACCCGTTTGGATATTAAAGTTGTTAAATCAGTTGTGGGTTTAACAAGAATGGCAATAGTGAGTTTGTAGAAGTGCTGCAGTTGTATTTAGTGAGAGAGGATCTGTCAACATTGTGGGACAGTGGGACCTCTAACCATGCATCTGTTCCTGTACCTGCAGTAATTGATGAGGGAGAGTTCACCACATCACTCTCTAGCGATCCGAAGAACCTGGAGCGTCTGGTGGAGAAGACTGGTTACCAGGACTACCAGCGTCTGGGGCTCGGCAACCTGTCAACTATTGGACAGAAGTCCCGCTCAGAACCATTCAGGATATCCGTTGTTAATGCCAACTACTCCGTGTGTAGAAGGTGAGAGGCACAGCCTGGCACTACAACTCCATTGCATCCTGACGACACGGGTCAATGCTCATGCTGACAATGTCTGATTTCCTTTGCCCGTATTTCATCATTTGTACTCTGTCAAACTTTAACCCAAATATTGCTTACTGCTGCATAAAACTACATTCATTAACAAACAACTCACATTATCAGGGGGTTCTTGGGTCAAAATAGGTTCCCAATACCTTTGTCTGACTCGTTGTGGGGATTCCTGGGTCAAAATAGGTTCCCAATACCTTTGTCTTTCTCATTGTGGGATTTCCTGGGTCAAAATAGGTTCCCAATACCTTTGTCTTTCTCATTGTGGGGATTCCTGGGTCAAAATTGGTTCCCAATACCTTTGTCTGACTCATTGTGGGGATTCCTGGGTCAAAATTGGTTCCCAATACCTTTGTCTTTCTCATTGTGGGGATTCTTGGGTCAAAATTGGTTCCAAATACCTTTGTCTGACTCATTGTGGGGATTCCTGGGTCAAAATTGGTTCCCAATACCTTTGTCTTTCTCATTGTGGGGATTCCTGGGTCAAAATTGGTTCCCAATACCTTTGTCTTTCTCATTGTGGGGATTCTTGGGTCAAAATTGGTTCCAAATACCTTTGTCTGACTCATTGTGGGGATTCCTGGGTCAAAATTGGTTCCCAATACCTTTGTCTTTCTCATTGTGGGGATTCTTGGGTCAAAATTGGTTCCCAATACCTTTGTCTGACTCATTGTGGGGATTCCTGGGTCAAAATTGGTTCCCAATACCTTTGTCTGACTCATTGTGGGGATTCCTTTGGTCAAAATTGGTTCCTAATACCTTTGTCTTTCTCATTGTGGGGATTCCTGGGTCAAAATTGGTTCCCACTACATTTGTCTGACTCATTGTGGGGATTCCTGGGTCAAAATAGGCTCCTAGTGCCTCATTTTTTTCTTCAGTGACTATACGGTGGTGAGTCTTGGTGACTTGGCAGATTGTGTGTTATTGTATCTGTGTTGAGTGATGTATCTGTGGCTGATGTGTGTACTCTCTGTCCCACAGTTACCCTGCCTTACTGGTTGTACCTCAAGTTGTTGCTGATGAAAGTATACGAAAGTTTGCCCGCTGTCATCGTCAGTCTAGGTAAGTCTCATTCTGCTGGGGAAAATTAGTTTCTTAAAATTGTTTTGTCTGAAGGAAATTACTGAAGGATGTTGGGTGCCTTCTTCCTCCTCAGAATTACTGCTTCATGTATCTAAGAAAAAGTACGACTTTAATGATAACAACTGGGGTTTCTTTTGCATAAACGACATTTCAATGTAGATTCTCACACCATTCTCAAGCTGGAAAGAGTACAACAAAATGATGAAAGGTTTCTGTACTTGATACGTTGTGATAAGCAGCAGATTAACATAAACAACAATTGATACCAAATAGCACACTGTTTCTGCCCTGATTAGCCGATTATGTAGGAAAAACAGGTTTGGAATTCCTCTGGGGCAGTCGGGTGGCCTAGTGGTTAAAGCGTTCGCTAGTCACGCCGAGGACCCAGGTTCTATTCCTGACATGGGTACAATGTGAAGCCCATTTCTGGTTTTCCTCGCCGTGATACTGCTGGAATATTGCTAAAAGCGGCATAAAACCAAACTCACTCACTCATTTGAATTCTTCTTAGTAATTGTTCTTCATAGTTGTTTTATCTTAAGAAATTTACCGAAAATGTATTCCTCCTCTTCCTTAGATATCAAATTTCCTGTATTTTGGTGTTGTGGTTGATGTTATTAATGTCTAGATGGTACACCATCCAGATTAATCAGGTTTTCCAAAGATCTTTGTTTGCTGACGATACACGTACAGAAGAGGTTCTTACATTGTTGCACTAACCCGTGAAGATCCGGGGTAGGATAGATCTTCAGGAACCCATGCTTGTCCCCCGTGAAGATCCGGGGTAGGATAGATCTTCAGGAACCCATGCTTGTCCCCTTTGAGGATCCGGGGTAGAATAGGTCTTCAGCCACCTTTGCTTGCCGTAAGAGGCGACTAACAGTTTAGGTGGTCAAGATCCGGGTCAGAAAAGTCTTCAGCAACCCATGGGTAGATAGATGCTCATGATGTCAATCACTGGATTGCCTGGTCCAGACTTGATTATTTACAGACCGCCATCATACACCTGGAATGTTGCTGAGTGTGGCGTTAAACAACAAACAAAACATTGTACTGTATTTCATTCCTCTAAGTGACAAAGTGATCTGCAATCATCTGCTTCACCAGTATCCATGTTTCAGTCCTCAGCTGAATGTTCTCCACTGTCTCATTCACCCAGGTTTCCTGTGATAACATGGAGGCACCCGCGAACGAAAGCATTACTACTGCGCGCATCTGGTCTACATAGTCGGGGCCTCATGGGCATGCTCAGACACAACCAAACATCAGGTAGGTCAGACACAACCAAACATCAGGTAGGTCAGACACGACCAAACATCAGGTAGGTAAGACACGACCAAACATCAAGTAGGTCAGACACGACCAAACATCAGATAGGTCAGACACGACCAAACATCAGATAGGTCTGACACAACCAAACATCAGATAGGTCAGACACAACCAAACATCAGGTAGGTCAGACACAACCAAACATCAGGTAGGTCAGACATAACCAAACATTAGGTTGGTCAGACACAACCAAACATCAGGTAGGTCAGACACAACCAAACATTAGGTTGGTCAGACACAACAAAACATCAGATAGGTCAGACACAACCAAACATCAGGTAGGTCAGACACAACCAAACATCAGGTAGGTCAGACACAACCAATCATCAGGTAGGTCAGACACAACCAAACATCAAGTAGGTCAGACACAACCAATCATCCCGGTAGCTCAGACACAACCAAACATCAAGTAGGTCAGACACAACCAAACATCAGATAGCTCAGACACAACCAAACATCAAGTAGGTCAGACACAACCAAACATCAGATAGCTCAGACACAACCAAACATCAGGTAGGTCAGACACAACCAAACATCAGATAGGTCAGACACAACCAATCATCAGGTAGCTCAGACACAACCAAACATCAGGTAGGTCAGACACAACCAAACATCAGGTAGCTCAGACACAACCAAACATCAAGTAGGTCAGACACAACCAAACATCAAGTAGGTCAGACACAACCAAACATCAAGTAGGTCAGACACAACCAAACATCAGATAGCTCAGACACAACCAAACATCAGGTAGGTCAGACACAACCAAACATCAGGTAGGTAAGACACAACGAAACATCAGATAGGTCAGACACAACCAAACATCAAGTAGGTCAGACACAACCAAACATCAGGTAGGTCAGACACAACCAAACATCAGGTAGGTCAGACACAACCAAACATCAGATAGCTCAGACACAACCAAACATCAGATAGCTCAGACACAACCAAACATTAGGTTGGTCAGACACAACCAAACATCAGATAGGTCAGACACAACCAAACATCAGATAGGTCAGACACAACCAAACGTCAGGTAGGTCAGACACAACCAACCATCAGATAGGTCAGACACGACCAAACATCAGGTAGGTCAGACACAACCAAACATCAGGTAGGTCAGACACAACCAATCATCAGGTAGGTCAGACACAACCAAACGTCAGGTAGGTCAGACACAACCAAACATCAGGTAGGTCAGACACAACCAATCATCAGGTAGGTCAGACACAACCAACCATCAGGTAGGTCAGACACAACCAACCATCAGGTAGGTCAGACACAACCAAACGTCAGGTAGGTCAGACACAACCAAACGTCAGGTAGGTCAGACACAACCAAACGTCAGGTAGGTCAGACACAACCAAATGTCAGGTAGGTCAGACACAACCAACCATCAGATAGGTCAGACACAACCAAACGTCAGGTAGGTCAGACACAACCAAACATCAGGTAGGTCAGACACAACCAATCATCAGATAGGTCAGACACAACCAAACATCAGGTAGATCAGACACAACCAATCATCAGGTAGGTCAGACACAACCAACCATCAGGCAGGTCAGACACAACCAAACGTCAGGTAGGTCAGACAACCAAACATTAGGTAGGTCAGACACAACCAAACGTCAGATAGGTCAGACACAACCAAACGTCAGGTAGGTCAGACACATCCAAACGTCAGATAGGTCAGACACAACCAAACGTCAGGTAGGTCAGACACAACCAAACGTCAGGTAGGTCAGACACAACCAAACATCAGGTAGGTCAGACACAACCAATCATCAGGTAGGTCAGACACAACCAACCATCAGGTAGGTCAGACACAACGAAACATCAGGTAGGTCAGACACAACCAAACATCAGGTAGGTCAGACACAACGAAACATCAGGTAGGTCAGACACAACGAAACATCAGATAGGTCAGACACAACCAAACATCAAGTAGGTCAGACACAACCAAACATCAGATAGGTCAGACACAACCAAACATCAAGTAGGTCAGACACAACCAAACATCAGGTAGGTCAGACACAACCAAACACTAGGTAGGTCAGACACAACCAAACATCAGGTAGGTCAGACACACTCACTCATCACTAAATGACCTGCAGTACATTGGGGCTTACGCCACCATTAGAAACGTCCATGCTAAATGCAGCATATGTTATATTTATTCCATATGTAGTTAGTTTGTACCCTGCCCTACGAGGGTGTTCTGTACAAAAAAAATTCTTGATTCTTGATTCTTGATATGTTCTCCCATTTGCTAAAATGACAACATGGAACAGTTTTCAATGTGTCAATGAATTGTTCATCACCTAAACTTATCAACCTATCCAAACTATCGCTAACACTGGCCTTGTTTCATAAGAATGAATTGTTTCCAGGTACTTCAAGCGGGGAAACCTCATCAAGTTTAGAACAAGAAAAATATTTTTCGGCTCTCGTGGCCGCCACACCGAGCAGTAACCGATCCTACCACTCATCATACAGCGACTCCCTGACCAGCCTTGACTCCCTCATGATGGTGGGCACCGACACGCTGACGATTCCAGAAACACCCGACCCCTTGCGGCGTAGCATCTTCAGCAAGGGCAGCACGGCCAACAGGGGAAGCACTAGCGGCAAACCCAAACCAACATGTGAGTTGTCTCCCTTTCAACCGCCATTTTGTTATGTGTGTGGATTATGTTTCATTGCTGAGTAGTGTTTTCCTAAAACATAGTTATGTAAGAATATGAATTCATTGTTCAAGGGAGGTGGATATGTAACTTCTTTTTTGTTAGAAAAAATTAATTCAGTCCTGGTTGGATTAACATTGTGGTGATTATATAACTTTAGTAAAGTTAAAAGTTATAAACTATTTTGCTGATTTGTTTTTAGCTGTTATAAATAGTTGTAAGTGTAGGAGTGTATCAAACGATGGGGTGTGAGGACAATGCACTTTGGGAAAACACTACAATGATGGAGTGAAGTGTATATGATTTCTGCCAAGTTGCCGTGGCCCAGTTTTTCAAATGTAACAGTTTCATGTTTTTTCAGTGTCATCTTCAGTTCTGTGTGAGGACATTTTTATGTTATTCATTATTGGGTTCCGAGAGGTTTCTTCCACATCTCTTTCTATTGTTCAAATTACTATTGTTGTTGTTGGTGGTGTAGTTTACTTCTTATATAATTATGACACCACTTTTCCCAACAATTATAATGATGTCCCCTGTTACTGCCAGCACCAATCCCGCATGATGGGGTTTGTATGCCACGCCCTTGTCTGACACACCCACACATGCACCTATGTATTCCAGTATGCATGCATGCATACATGCATGCATACATGCATGCATGTCTCCTGACATGCACACATCAATGCCTTAACCTCTACTTAACGTTTGATACGGATGTTCTAATTACTAAAATGACATATTATCTATATGTAAATAGTGGGAAATATCTCAATCCCTGTCACAGTTGGGTAGTTTACATTGTATCAGAGTTTGACAAAAGTTCAGGGTCTCATCCATTCCCTACAGCAATCTGTTGTAAGGTTAAACAATGCAGGTAACTTCAGTCGTGGCACTGTGGTTGTTTTGCGGACTAAGGGTTCTTTTTCACCAAGTGATCTTAGTGCTAAGACTTTCATACGTCATGTCAAAGTATGGAAAATAGGATCATCTTAGTGATGAGGTCATTTTGGGGGACCTAGAACCCTGAAAGAGTTTTGTAGCGATCTGATTGCTGTAACTGATGATCTAGACTCACAACATCTGTAGTGCTAGAATGGCTTCATGAAAAAGGTCCATGAATTTCCACTGCGATATACAGGCTTGATGGCATGTGCATTGGAAATGAATATTAGTAAGAAGCATGTATGACATGAGTCGTAGATAACTGAACCTTCATGTTTATTCATATCCTCAATCAGGGCTACGCTTTTCCCATTAACAGCCCTGATTATGGGTTGTGCTGTTTACCCTCACGCATCCCATGGAATGTCGCACCGTTTTTGTGAAGATTGTTGTTGAGTAGTTTAGCGTCCTGCACTAATGTTATAGTTGGTTGTATGTGTTGCACATTCAGCTGTCGTCACTACCAACCCCACATCATTAGAACTTTTTGCTTCTTTCTTTTTTCATTTGTAGATTTTCATTTTGAATATGTTGTTGCTTTTCAGTGGAAGATGAATTTGACTGTAAGCTATTACTACTTTTCTCAATTAACTATGAATGCAGCCAAGTCTCTAATGCCTAAGCTTCAAATTGAAACAGATGCTGGTGTTTGGTGTGTGGTTGAATTGGCTGGAGAAAGATTGTTTTTAATTATTGATATATGACATAACAAATTTCAGGAAATATTGCATTATTTACTGTCCCAAGGACCAGCTTTGGTTTATAAGACATGAGACATCTATTGTCTTTGTAAGAATGGCTTGTACCATAGCATTGCTACCTAAACCAATACCATGTCATCAGCCGCAAACAAATGGAGATGCTTTTCATGTTTTATCGTTTGATTATATCATTATTTTATTTTAGTAATCACAAGAAATCTCTGTGTGTTATTTCCTGCCCCATATAATTTGGCTGTAGGCTTTATTAAGAATCGTATTACCATGGTTACAAAAGTGCAGTTGATTTGGAATGTGTAATCTCGTCATTGATTCCGTGGAAAGTGCTGATTCAGCATCAGTGGAAACCTGTGACTGTGGTTCCGATTACGTTCCTGGGTTTGTCAGCACCATACCTGTGCTCGTCGGTTTGTCAGCAACGTACCTGTGCTCGTCGGTTTGTCAGCACCGTACCTGTGCTCGTCTGTTTGTCAGCACCGTACCTGTGCTCGTCGGTTTGTCAGCACCGTACCTGTGCTCGTCTGTTTGTCAGCACCGTACCTGTGCTCGTCAGTTTGTCAGCACCGTACCTGTGCTCGTCGGTTTGTCAGCACCGTACCTGTGCTCGTCGGTTTGTCAGCACCGTACCTGTGCTCGTCGGTTTGTCAGCACCGTACCTGTGCTCGTCGGTCTCACCAAAGTGGTAAACATCTGAAACGTGCATCACTTTGGTCTTTCCTCCGACATCAAGCTGACACGCCATGATATAAGTGGAATACTGTTCAAAGCGGTGTTAAACCCAACTCACTCCCTCATTAGATATGGTGTAACTTGAAAATATATACAGGTTCAGAGGTGTCGCCAGCTGTCTGGTAGAGCTGGAACAATACAGTGACATGATGTATCGCTTCACACTTTTGGGGTTAAATTCTGTGTATTATTGATTTTGAAAAATAACAAAACTGGGTCAAAATGTTCTATTTGATGTCAAATCTTGAGACAGCTCCTTGGCATGGTGAGATCAAATGATGGACTCAACCATAATCAAGATAAGAGATTGATCAGTATCTATTTGTGAAACGATGTATATTACGCAAACCAAGTTCAAAAACACCCAATTCTTTCATGTTATAGTTAATGTCATATCAAAGAATCATTCTTTAACTTCTTTTGAATAGCATACTTGTATTGGCACAAAACCATTCAAAGAAGCCTTTCATGTGTCAGATCATTGTGTTGTCACTGTGGTTCACAGATGGATCGCGGCAGCCTTCAACATTATTTCTCCATTTGGCTACAAATAACACACATAGATTGTTTTAGCTGCATGGTTGATATTTATTTTCTTTCATTTGCTTTTTTGAATTGGTTGCCTAGCAGCACAAGATCAGCCGATGAGGGTCGCTAGACGTGGGTCGTTTGTGCAGACTATGAATCGCCTGCGAGCTAGCATCGGCAAAGGCGGCATTGGTTTCGGAAGTAGTAGCACGTGTAGGTCTAACTGTCACCTCTGTACGTAATGTCTGCTGTCCCTACATAACGTCCTCACTTGCCTGGATCTAGGTCTCACTTGAGAACCTCCAGGAAATTACATAGGCCAGTTCCTGATGCCAGCATGTGCATGCCAATCATATCCACTCTTCTAGAGACATTGAGTTACTGTCAGACTTCTCTAGAGATGCCTAGCTCAGGAGTTAATTTGGAGTCCTCAGTGAAAGTCAGGGTTATGAATCTTGTAATATTAATCATTGGAGATACTGTTTGTACTAAGCCATTTGTCCTTATTAATCCTTAACCCTGTGACCACATCTCTCTGTGTCTAAACCTCCCTCAATGTATTTAGGGATCACTTGTCATAATGTCATAAAGTAGAGATTATTGTTGTTCCCTAAGCAGCTCTGCTTGTAAGTTAATTTGATCCAAACAAATATTTACAAACCATTTTTTGGTGAGATACAAGAGAGTTGCTTATGAAGAGATATGTTTATCACCTAACAAAATGTACCCCAAAAATACAAAATGTATCAAATAAACAAAGCGTTGTGGCTTGAACTAAAGGTGGATAAATATTGCTACACAATCAGTTTTAAGTGGAAGACCAAAATATGTGTATTATTTCTATCTTGCAGTAAGACCTATGTTATTTACATACTTCAACATAGCTAAAATATTTTAAAACAATTCTTTTTCCTTAACCTTATAAGTATTTTATTATAAAACTTAAATACTTGAGATTTCACCTTGTGTTAAGAGAAACATGTTTCAGCTGAACACGGTGATGTCGTAATTGATACAGTCTCATTATTTCATGCAAGAACCATTGGAAGGGTTCCAGTGATTGCACGATTGTCCTGGATGGTGACAGTTCGACAGTATATGTACATTAACATCATCTTGCTTCCACTGACTGCCTCACTTGCCATGCTTCCTTATTAACGAATTGCTTCACAACCCAGCTAGCTGCTAACAAGTGGTGTTATAATTCATTTTCTATTCATTCCAGGTCTTCTGTCTGTTCTTCTATTTTGTTTTTCTCTCATGTCTATGTCCAACAACAAATAGTCATTCTTGCCCTTTATTAGCTGTAGAAATTAATAAGTCGAAACACTTTTAATTAGTTGTGAGTCCAGTATCTTTTGAATGATGTATGTCTGGTGGGAAATGTTAGCTAAGGTAAGATAGGGCGATGATTCAAACCTTCCTGTCCTGTCTTTAGTATGGCTGGAACATGTGCTTCAACATCACATCTTTGTTTTGGAATGAAAATATATGCTTTGTTTCTTGTGAACAGATCTGCAAAGTCCATCACAATTTGTGAAAATAGGAGTGAAATGATTTCAAAGTTGTCTTTTGTCTGCTCATAGTACACAAGAAATGTGTCAAATAATTTACCGCTATATTATATCAACCTGTTCTGAATTTAGATACTACCCTGGTGTGTACCCATGTGATTTTCAATACATTTAGACCCTTCCATTAAGGCCTACAAGTAATGAGGTCATGTTAACTATTTATAGAATATTTCTGTCATGTAAAGATTTGACATGAACACTCGTCAGTTTTCATGACAGAGGCATCCCAAGGTACGATCTGTAACAAAATTATATTAATTAGTTAAAATCTATAAAATGGAAATGGTTACATCCTACAAACTACCAAGAGACTATTGACTAGAATCTGTAACAATGTGAAGCCATGTTCATTATCCACACCGCCAGTGTTTTCAAACACCTAGACAGGAACACGTTTCAACGAGGGAGTATAAATTTTGACTTTGCAGTTCTGACAATGCCGAGGAGACCGCGGAAAGGCTGGCAAAGTAATCTACCATTTCCCTTGTGTATAGCATGAGTCGTCCCCCTTTATTTTCTGTTTGGCGTATGTCACTGTTTTGATAGCTAGCTGTCTGCTTCTCCACCTCGAGACAGTCAACAATGTATCTCCATCACGATACTGCATCTCACAGCAGATTTATATATATGTACATGTTTATCATTACTCGTTACAGTCTCAGGCAATTGATTGGCTAGTCAGCTGATTGTATTGCCATTTTGTTGTTATGATTGATCAGACGTCACTTTTCATTTTACGTTTGAGTCTGTTATGTGCAAAGAGGCGGCTTGTCAAACATAACTATTTCACTGAAAAGTTTTCTATGTAAATTGTGAGTAATGATAAATGTTTATTGTATGTGTCATTAACTGGGTGTACAAGATTTTACGAGACGAACATATATGCAGAGTCCTTGATTTTCTGATCATATAACTCTTGAAATCTGCACATCCCTCTGGTCATGTATAACTCATCACGATACTGACATTGAATAACATGTGATACAGGAGGTACTAGTCACACACAACTATTGTCACAGTTGCCAGTACTAGCCGACATATTACAAGTTGTGGCAGGATGAGTTGGGGTACATGGGGTTTTGTGCTTCCCTCTTTAGGTTTTATGACACGAGTCGTGTGGTATAAGACCAAGGAGAGACACATAAAACCCCATGAACCAAGAGTGATCCTGCTGCAACAAATCTATCTCACCCACTTGTTTTAATATTACGTTGTAAAAGAATTAAAACAAATTCAAAATTGATGGAAAACAGCTGTTCGATTCAGCTGAGGTTAACTTGTGCTTTGTCACGTGACTTTCATTGACTCGGGTAAAGTATTCAGCTTTTTGCTTCAAAGCGGGTATAAGTGATTTACTCTGCCCCTCAGAAATCCACACGCAGCCTGTTTTGGTCGTGGCACGGTTTAAGGGATTTAATCCTCCGCTGAGAAATTTATTTCCCTCCAAGGCGGGATACATAGTATTTTATCAATATCATGTGGACCAATCAGATATCTTCATTCTGACATGTAGGTATGATAAACTTAATTATCCACTACTGAGTGCAGTCAAACACTGAAGCTGCAAATTAAGCAAGTTTCTGTTGTTGAGGGGACCCAGTCATTAAAAGTGCCACAGTTCATTGTTAGGAGTTGCATCCCTTAGTCTTGCCAGGATTTGATGATCGTTGGTTCCAATACCATATTGGCTTTGAGTATGATTTGGTTATTCACACCAACACTTATTGCTAAAACTAGAACATTTCAATTTCAAAATATCTCCATATGGCCTTTTCAGATTTTCTTTTTTAGTCCTGATTTCAAACTTTAAGGAAGGTAACCAGGGTTAACTGTCAAAAAGTTATTTAACTGCAAACTCCAGTACTTTGACATACATAGAGATTTCATATCATAGGACAGTTAGGAAGAGGGTATACAAAATTATTTATAATTCTGATAGTTTAATATTTGATATCTGAAACTCACATAAAGATTTCACACCATGACCCTGCCCTAATATGTCCTCATATGATCTTGGCTCCACGATCGGCATCTGTCCGTAGACCTGATGGGTGCCCAGTGCCGAGCTGCTGCAACTCATCAGTTTGTGTCCTTTAGCCATGCCAGGATCCCCAGACTGTGGATCCAAACCCAAATTGCCCCTCTTATGATATTGTCTGTCAACAATTTCAGTGCTCAGACTTTCTCCAAAGTAGTAAACTGTCAGACCTGCACCACTCTGGACCTCTCACATGAACCAAAATACTAAAATATTGTGGTCCGACTCATAATACTGTCAACCGACATCCCATGATAGACCTAAAATACTGTGGTCCCACTCATAATACCGTCAACCGACATGCCGTCATAGACCTAAAATACTGTGGTCCCACTCATAATACTGTCAACAGGCATGCAATCATAGACCTAAAATATTGTGGTCCCACTCACAATACTGTCAACAGACATCCCATGATAGACCTTAAATACTGTGGTCCCACTCATAATACTGTCAACAGGCATGCCATCATAGACCTAAAATATTGTGGTCCTACTCATAATACTGTCAACAGGCATGCCATCATAGACCTAAAATACTGTGGTCCCACTCATAATACCGTCAACCGACATGCCGTCATAGACCTAAAATACTGTGGTCCCACTCACAATACTGTCAACAGACATCCCATGATAGAACTTAAAACTTTGGTCCAACTCCCAACACAACTGTGACAGTAGTTGCGTGTTCTAACAAGCTGTACGGAGAATACTAACAGAACATGAATGAAGCAGGTTTCCCTGTACACCAGGCACCATGTTATACCATGGGCAGCATGAGGAGGTTGATATGGGGGTTACGTCCAGGCATGGCAACCCACAACAAGGAATGTGCTTCTACTGACCGTCTTCCAATCTGCAGTATCTCAAATGAGCTGTCGTTAAAGAATTTAATTTCATCTTATCACTTATTTCATTTCTTTTATGTTTAAAACTTTGTGTACCTATTCAGACAGTCTTCTGTAAAAATATGATGTTTATATTTGGCTGACAAAATGTGATTTTACATCTTATATAGAATAGTAGGTTGTTGGATAAGATGTTATTGTCAGACATGTAAGTTAGATATCACACTGCTTTTGACACCCTAGATGAGAGAGAGGGCACTACCGGTAGATTAGACTTGGGTCAAGCTAGTCCTGTAGTTGCACTGTGGTGAGATTTCCTCAGATGGCTGCACAGAGTATATCCAACACCAATTCATAACCAACCCTATGGAATAATTGAAATGATCAAATAATTTGATACTTTTATTGATCAGCTCTGCTGGCTTCACTTTTATGTTGATGTATGTGTACAAAGTGGCCTTCATGTGTCAGGGTTGTTTTTGTTTTAATTATTGTCTTTGTCCCTGTCCAAAATATTATACGTGTTCACAAACAAACATCAGTAATTGTGTTTGTGTTTGGCTCCAAATTGAAGGTGTCGTCCATACCTTGTCCTTTGCTTTGTGCAGCTTTGCATCTGTTTTGGTAGAGTAAATATTGGGATATTGTTGTTTATTGTTTGGTTTATCAATTTAACCTGTATGCTGTAACATGTGCTAGTTATATTGAGACTAAATAAAATGATATTTTTGTGAAACATAATATTAATTACTTCCTTTGTTTGCTTCATCGTTGTTCTTTGGTTTATGTTATTACAGAATTTTTAGATTTTGTATTGATATTTTATACCTTTTTTCTGATTTTCTTTGATAGGTGTCTGTTTGAAATTTGTTCAGATTTAATCAGTGTTTGCTTGTTTGTGTTTATTGTGCTAACCTAAAATTAAAACTGATTGCTTTGTGGCCAAAGTGTGTTTACATTTTGTTGTTTAATGAAAAACAGGATGTTTTCATTTAACCTTTCTATTCTTGTAAGATGTTGTTCATACTAAGTTCATGAATAATAGCATATGGTTTTGTAATTTTACACAATTCTGAAATTAATTATTCATTTTAATGCACATAGATGCTCTCATGGAGCTATAACAAATTCTGTTTGAGGAAAGTGTAGAAAGTATTTTGCACAGTGTTATTCATGTATTTCAAATATCTTATTCCAGGTTAATTAAACACTGCTTTGAACATTTTGTTATGTTTATTCTTGATTTTTCAGCTCTGAACAGGATTGGAAGTCTGCGGGAGAAATCCCGTTACAGTTCTCCAGACACACGGTCACGTGCACAAAATGGCAGCTTAGACCACCGTGGTGATCTGATCAACAGCTCCGTGCAGGGTCTTCACCGAGTGTCCCTCTATGTGCTGGGAGAGAAGACACAGATGAAGGTGGGAGTCTATGAGTCTTTTTCTGTCTATGAAAAACCATAGTTAAAATAGATCTCAGAACTATTTTCACTCCCATAAGTGTTACCTGCCCACATTCAGACATTATAAATATTGAAAAATCACACACAAAAGTAAGAGACAAATTGCGTCTTGATTCAGTTGTGATAATGCAAACAATTACTTGAGAATCAGAAAGGAGGTCTGATAAAACTGGATGTAACAGTAGGCCAGACAGTCAGGCAGGTGGAGGAAAATTTCCTGCAACCCGACAGAAAAGTTGCCAGCCACGGGCAGGCTGGCTGGCAGTTATTTTGGACACTGTTTTCCCTATGTATAATTCCCATGGATACTAAGTTAGAATAGGTCCCCAGCACTCTATTGCTTGTCTCAGGGATTTGACTAATGTGTGTCATCGTGACCCAGACCCGTGAAGATTCCGGGGTAGAATATGTCTTCAGCAACCCATGCTTGCCGTAAAAGGTGACTATGCTTGTTGTAAAAGGCGACTAACGGGATCGGGTGGTCAGGCCTGCTGACTTGGTTGATGCATGTCATCGATCCCAATTGCGTGGATTGATGCTCATTATTTGATTTCAATCACTGGATTGTCTGGTCCAGCCTCGATTATTTACAGACCGCCCTCATGTAGCTGGAATATTGCTGAGTGCGGCATTAAACAACAAACCAACCAACCATCGTGCCCCGATTGCGTGGAACATTAGTCATGCTTTCAGTCTCTGGTCTGCCAGACCCAATTATTTACAGTTTGCCATGATAAGGCTGAATGTTGGTGTAAAACAGCATACAAACAAATCCATAAAATAAACCAGCTTCTCTGTACCAGTGATATGACACAATGCTTCATGGCTTATTGGAGTCAAGGCTTATTAGCAAAGTGTCAGGCAGTGTCCCGTGCATCAGTCTGTTTCAACATTAGGGAGTCAGTGAAATGTCTTTCTGACCACAGGGCATCAAGATGGAGTCATTTCAGAAGTGTGACTTTATCCCGGTGGACTTCTTCGAGGTGCGCCATGTCAAGGCCAGCTTCAAGAAGCTGATGCGTGCATGTGTCCCGAGCAGCCTGTCTCCAGAGGCCAACTTCTACAAAGCTGTGGAGGAGTCCGAGTGGCTGCTGCAGGTATGGAACATGGTCGCCTCTATCTGACGGCCATTTTGTTTTTCCTGGTCCACTCAGACCTCAGAATCTGATGTTAGGACAGATAGGAATTGGAAAATGTTACTTATTCTAGTGATATATTTCACTATTTGACTTTGTCCTGATGATGATAGCCATCTTTGAAATAACTCCATGTATCCCCTGGTGCCCCTACTGACCCATCTGTTCCTGTGGTCAGATCCAGAACGTGCTGCAGTTGGCGGGGGCCACAGTGGACCTGCTGGACGTCCAGGGATCCTCTGTCATGATCTGTCTGGAGGACGGCTGGGACGTCACTTCACAGGTACGTTCGCAACAGCACAGTAGGAATATGTGGTAGCTACACGCTAGTGCCCCATTCAATAACTGTGGGAACTTTACTTTTTATAGACAAACCATACTTAAATTGCTAATATCACCAAATGATATCCACGTACCCAGGGCCCCACTCTAGAAAGAGATCTGGGCTATAACCCGATTTTAACTCACATACTTTGGCCTAGGAGTTAGGTGTGTCCTGCAAACAATAGTGTTAGTTAGGAGTATCCTGCAAACTGTAGTGTGAATTATGAATATCCTGCAAACTGTAGTGTGAATGAGGTGTATCCTCCAAGCTGTACTGTGAATTAGGTGTATCCTACAAGCTGTAGTGTGAATGAGGTGTATCCTACAAGCTGTAGTATGAATGAGGCATATCCTACAAGCTGTAGTGTGAATAAGGTGTATCCTACAAGCTGTAGTGTGAATCAGGTGTATCCTCCAAGCTGTATTGTGAATTAGGTGTATCCTGCAAACTGTAGTGTGAATGAGGTGTATCCTACAAGCTGTAGTATGAATGAGGTGTATCCTACAAGCTGTAGTATGAATGAGGTGTATCCTACAAGCTGTAGTATGAATGAGGTGTATCCTCCAAGCTGTAGTATGAATGAGGTGTATCCTACAAGCTGTAGTATGAATGAGGTGTATCCTACAAGCTGTAGTGTGAATAAGGTGTATCCTACAAGCTGTAGTATGAATGAGGTGTATCCTACAAGCTGTAGTATGAATGAGGTGTATCCTACAAGCTGTAGTATGAATGAGGTGTATCCTACAAGCTGTAGTGTGAATCAGGTGTATCCTACAAGCTGTAGTATGAATGAGGTGTATCCTACAAGCTGTAGTATGAATGAGGTGTATCCTACAAGCTGGAGTATGAATGAGGTGTATCCTACAAGCTGTAGTATGAATGAGGTGTATCCTACAAGCTGTAGTATGAATGAGGTGTATCCTACAAGCTGTAGTATGAATGAGGTGTATCCTACAAGCTGTAGTATGAATGAGGTGTATCCTACAAGCTGTAGTATGAATGAGGTGTATCCTCCAAGCTGTAGTATGAATGAGGTGTATCCTACAAGCTGTAGTATGAATGAGGTGTATCCTACAAGCTGTAGTGTGAATAAGGTGTATCCTACAAGCTGTAGTATGAATGAGGTGTATCCTACAAGCTGTAGTATGAATGAGGTGTATCCTACAAGCTGTAGTATGAATGAGGTGTATCCTACAAGCTGTAGTGTGAATCAGGTGTATCCTACAAGCTGTAGTATGAATGAGGTGTATCCTACAAGCTGTAGTATGAATGAGGTGTATCCTACAAGCTGGAGTATGAATGAGGTGTATCCTACAAGCTGTAGTATGAATGAGGTGTATCCTACAAGCTGTAGTATGAATGAGGTGTATCCTACAAGCTGTAGTATGAATGAGGTGTATCCTCCAAGCTGTAGTATGAATGAGGTGTATCCTACAAGCTGTAGTATGAATGAGGTGTATCCTACAAGCTGTAGTGTGAATAAGGTGTATCCTACAAGCTGTAGTATGAATGAGGTGTATCCTACAAGCTGTAGTATGAATGAGGTGTATCCTACAAGCTGTAGTATGAATGAGGTGTATCCTACAAGCTGTAGTGTGAATCAGGTGTATCCTACAAGCTGTAGTATGAATGAGGTGTATCCTACAAGCTGTAGTATGAATGAGGTGTATCCTACAAGCTGGAGTATGAATGAGGTGTATCCTACAAGCTGTAGTATGAATGAGGTGTATCCTACAAGCTGTAGTATGAATGAGGTGTATCCTACAAGCTGTAGTATGAATGAGGTGTATCCTACAAGCTGTAGTATGAATGAGGTGTATCCTACAAGCTGTAGTATGAATTAGGTGTATCCTACAAGCTGTAGTATGAATTAGGTGTATCCTACAAGCTGTAGTATGAATGAGGTGTATCCTACAAGCTGTAGTGTGAATGAGGTGTATCCTACAAGCTGTAGTATGAATTAGGTGTATCCTGCAAACTGTAGTGTGAATCAGGTGTATCCTACCAGCTGTAGTATGAATGAGGTGTATCCTACAAGCTGTAGTATGAATGAGGTGTATCCTACAAGCTGTAGTATGAATCAGGTGTATCCTACAAGCTGTAGTATGAATGAGGTGTATCCTACAAGCTGTAGTATGAATGAGGTGTATCCTCCAAGCTGTAGTATGAATGAGGTGTATCCTACAAGCTGTAGTATGAATGAGGTGTATCCTACAAGCTGTAGTATGAATGAGGTGTATCCTCCAAGCTGTAGTATGAATGAGGTGTATCCTATAAGCTGCAGTATGAATGAGGTGTATTCTCCAAGCTGTAGTATGAATGAGGTGTATCCTACAAGCTGTAGTATGAATGAGGTGTATCCTCCAAGCTGTAGTATGAATGAGGTGTATCCTACAAGCTGTAGTATGAATGAGGTGTATCCTACAAGCTGTAGTGTGAATGAGGTGTATCCTACAAGCTGTAGTATGAATGAGGTGTATCCTACAAGCTGTAGTATGAATTAGGTGTATCCTACAAGCTGTAGTATGGATAAGGTGTATCCTACAAGCTGAGTGTGAATATGTTGTATCCTACAAGCTGTAGTGTGAATATGGTGTATCCTTCAAGCTGTAGTGTGAATCAGGTGTATCCTACAAGCTGTAGTATGAATGAGGTGTCTCCTACAAGCTGTAGTTTGAATTAGGTGTATCCTACAAGCTGTAGTATGAATGAGGTGTATCATACAAGCTGTCATTTGAATTACCAGGTGGTGGCGGTGGCGGAGATTCTGCTGGACCCCTACTACCGGACAATTGAGGGCTTCAAGGCGCTGGTGGAGAAGGAGTGGCTCTCTTTCGGTCATCGCTTCACACACCGCAGCAACCAGACAGCTGCCAACCAGGCCAGCGGCTTCGCACCGGTCTTCCTGCAATTCCTGGACACAGTGCATCAGGTAAGTTAATGAGTGTAACACCTGTGCCGACAGGTAGGTTAATGAGTAAGACACTTGTTCTAGGCAGGTTAACAAGTACAACACCTGTGCTGACAGGTAGGTTAACAAGTACAACACCTGTGCTGACAGGCAGGTTAACAAGTACAACACCTGTGCTGACAGGTAGGTTAACAAGTACAACACCTGTGCTGACAGGTAGGTTAACGAGTAAGACACTTGTTCTAGGCAGGTTAACAAGTACAACACCTGTGCTGACAGGTAGGTTAACAAGTACAACACCTGTGCTGACAGGCAGGTTAACAAGTAAAACACCTGTGCTGACAGGCAGGTTAACAAGTACAACACCTGTGCTGTCAATACTTGGGCTAATGTTACCTACGGCTTTTCCTTACATGACACTTTAGTACTCCTATGAGAGAACAGAAGGTGCCTGGATGACCCAGTCAGCTAAGGGGCTGCAACTGTAGAGTTGTCTCCCTTATGATAAATCACCTTGATTATGTGTCTAGGTTTGCCAGCACTATACCTGTGATAGCGGGTTTCACCAAAGTGGTAACCGCCTAGGACCTGCATCACCTTGGACTGCCCTGGCACAAACTGACATGCCTTGGGTATAACTGAAATAATGTGCACTCACTCACTCACTCCCTCACTCTAATAGAAACTGTCCCTTCCAGATTCACCGCCAGTTTCCCCTGTCCTTCGAGTTCAACCAGCACCTCCTCAAGGTCGTGGCCTACCATTATGTCTCCAACCGATTCCGAACATTCATGTTGGACAACGAGTTCGAGCGTGTGGAGGCAGGCTGGCTGCATGAAGATAAACGTCCCTCCAAGCTGGATGACGGCGAGGAAGACCCCCTGGGGGGGTTCTCCCCCAAACACACAACCAACACGAGCGTGGGCGGGTCCATCTGGGACTACATCGAGAAGCAGCACAGGCGATCGGCCATGTTCTACAACTTCATGTACAGCCCCGAGGATGGAGACACGGTAAGTAGCTTTTAGGTGAGAGGTGCTAGGTTTGGGGAGTAGATGCGTGGGTTAAAGAGGTGCTAGGTTTGGGGAATAGATGTGTGGGTTAAAGAGGTGCTAGGTTTGGGGAATAGATGTGTGGGTTAAAGAGGTTCTAGGTTTGGGGAATAGATGTGTGGGTTAAAGAGGTGCTAGATTTGGGGAATAGATGTGTGGGTTAAAGAGGTGCTAGGTTTGGGGAGTAGATGCGTGGGTTAAAGAGGTGCTAGGTTTGGGGAATAGATGCGTGGGGTAAAGAGGTGCTAGGTTTGGGGAATAGATGGGTGGGTTAAAGAGGAGCTAGGTTTGGGGAATAGATGTGTGGGTTAAAGAGGTGCTAGGTTTGGGGAATAGATGTGTGGGTTAAAGAGGTGCTAGGTTTGGGGAGTAGATGTGTGGGTTAAAGAGGTGCTAGGTTTGGGGAGTAGATGTATGGGTTAAAGAGGTGCTAGGTTTGGGGAGTAGATGTGTGGGTTAAAGAGGTGCTAGGTTTGGGGAATAGATGTGTGGGTTAAAGAGGTGCTAGGTTTGGGGAGTAGATGTATGGGTTAAAGAGGTGCTAGGTTTGGGGAATAGATGTGTGGGTTAAAGAGGTGCTAGGTTTGGGGAGTAGATGTGTGGGTTAAAGAGGTGCTAGGTTTGGGGAGTAGATGTATGGGTTAAAGAGGTGCTAGGTTTGGGGAATAGATGTGTGGGTTAAAGAGGTGCTAGGTTTGGGGAATAGATGTGTGGGTTAAAGAGGTGCTAGGTTTGGGGAGTAGATGTGTGGGTTAAAGAGGTGCTAGGTTTGGGGAATAGATGTGTGGGTTAAAGAGGTGCTAGGTTTGGGGAATAGGTGTGTGGGTTAAAGAGGTGCTAGGTTTGGGGAATAGATGTGTGGGTTAAAGAGGTGCTAGATTTGGGGAATAGATGTGTGGGTTAAAGAGGTGCTAGGTTTGGGGAATAGATGCGTGGGTTAAAGAGGTGCTAGATTTGGGGGGTAGATGTATTCGTTGAGGGTTTCTCATCTTGGTGACTTGATGTAGAGGTTAATAAGGTGCTTCACAGAGGGAATACATGTATTTGTTAAGGAGTTGTTAGGCATAGGTAGTATCTTCTGGATTAAAGAGGTGCTCTCATTGAAGAGTTTGTGCCTGAACTGAAGTGTCGAGTATCACATGCTAGTCATGTGACCAGGTCGCCTGCGATGACTACACACTGATGGAATGTAGGGGACAAGCTCTGTTTAAACATTCAGGAGAGAGATGTACATCAGATTTCCTCCATCATCAAGTAATCGATTTAAGCACCCAGTACTAAGCCCCAAAACTTGTATGACAGTCCGTATTTTCTTGTGCATATCATAGGTTTATTTTTACAGCTGTGTAAATGGGGTATAAAAGTTTTAGTTTCATCGATATTTGAACATTGTTTATTCTCTATAGTGCGATATCTGATGGCAAGTTTAGCAAGTTTATGGTTTTAATAAGCACCCCCTTTGTCAATTTCCTAAGTGCTTGGCTTGCATGTTAAGGCAAATACGGTATTTTGAAAGCAATCCTGGCATTTGTGTGGTTTTCGTTACGATGTTGCGTTTTCATGAAACACATGGTTGCCCCACCCAGGTACTACGTCCCTACTCCAACATCTCCAACCTCCGCATCTGGGACTACTACCTGGCCGAGGACCTTGCACACGGCCCGACCTTCGACATGGAGGTCGTATCCAAGGAGATCCGGCAGAACGAGGACCAGGAAGCGGAGGCTATGGGCATCTCTCGGAGGAAGATCCTCAACGCCTGCTACGATAGCGTCATGCTGCAGGAACCCAACTATTTCCATGGACAGTTCCAGGTGAGCATGTCAGCTGATGAGGGTCCTGTGGGATGCTGGTCTGAAGCGGTGACGAAATGTCCGGCTTTGTTACTTGGTTGATTGTGTGACACTTTACCCCAATGGCATAGATCGATGTGGGTAGTTGACTTGATTACTACAGGTCACTATCATACAGCTGGAATTAGCTGATTGCAGTATTAAACAACAAACAAACACTGTGTAGGATGGGGATGTATGAGGGATGAAGGGAAGGGGTCTGAAAATGTAAGAACCTTCAGATTAAAAAACAAGCTATTTTCTGTCTGTAAATGTGAGAAGTCTTCAAGACTCTGGGTTCACCTGCTCCAAACAATGTACAATATTTGATCGCTGTACGTTCCTCAAGCTTCCAAAGGCCACAGACCACTGCTTGCTTTACTGACTTGTCACAGAGAAACAATTTGCTGTCTGTTGATATACCACTAGGACATCATGTAATGCCGCAACAAAAGATTTTGCTATTATGCCATTCATTCTGCGTGAGGTGCAGAACAAATCAAGCAACCCTCGAACACAATGACACAATAACTTAGTATTGCTAAAGTGTCAATATGCCTTGCATATATTTCCAGTATGACACATCATTTATCATGCAGGGTTCAAACAGGCTTGAAGGCTTTGATTGTAGCAGCCGAGCCATGTAGAGGCCTTAGAACTGGATTACATTTGCATTTAAATAACTAGTTTACAGTTTTGCTTTCTCTGATTATGTATGATGATAATAGATACATTATATTGAAAGGCTAGGATGGTGAGACTCAGTAGTACTCTTCTGATTGCCTGGCATGCTCCATGGCATGGTGCTCATGCTCTCAGTCACTGGTTGGTTTGGCCCAAACTCTATTATTTACAAGCCACTGGAATAGTACTGACTGTTATGCACTCAATCACAACCTGAGACCTGAGCGCTGTGTGTTGCAGGAAATTCACCGGCTGGAGACGGACCTGGGTCATCTGCCCCAGAAGTGGAAGGTACAGTGGGACAAGCTGGAGTCTCCGCACCGCGACCACGTCCAGCGCCAGGTGTCGTTCAACACCCAGATGGTTCGGTCTCACGGCCGCTCCATACACAAGCGCTCCACCCTGGAGATACTAGTGCGGGGCAAAATGCTGGGGGAGGCGGCCAGGATGTTCACCCAGCCCCATCACTTCGAGAAGACCACCTTCACCACCCCCATGTACTGTGACTACTGCACCCACGTGCTCTGGGGGCTGTCCAAGACAGGTGGGTGCTTGTGTTGTGAGACCATGTACTCTGGGGGTTGTCCAAGACAGGTGGGTGCTTGTGTTGTGAGACCATGTACTCTGGGGGTTGTCCAAGACAGGTGGGTGCTTGTGTTGTGAGACCATGTACTCTGGGGGTTGTCCAAGACAGGTGGGTGCTTGTGTTGTGAGACCATGTACTCTGGGGGTTGTCCAAGACAGGTTGGTGCTTGTGTTGTGAGACCATGTGCTCTGGGGGTTGTCCAAGACAGGTTGGTGCTTGTGTTGTGAGACCATGTGCTCTGGGGGTTTTCCAAGACAGGTTGGTGCTTGTGTTGTGAGACCATGTGCTCTGGGGGTTTTCCAAGACAAATAAGTGCTTGTATTGTGAGACCATGTGCTCTGGGGGCTGTGCAAGACAGGTGGGTGCTTGTGTTGTTAGACCATGTGCTGTGGGGCCTGTCCAAGACAGGTTGGTGCTTGTGTTGTGAGACCATGTGCTCTTGGGCCTGTCCAAGACAGGTTGGTGCTTGTTAGACCATGTGCTCAAGTTCTGTCCAAGATAGATAGGTGCTTGTATTGTGAGACCATGTGCTCTGGGAGTTGTGAAAGACAGGTGGGTGCTTGTGTTGTTAGACCATGTGCTGTGGGGTCTGTCCAAGGTTGGTGCTTGTGTTGTGAGACCATGTGCTCTGGGGGTTTTCCAAGACAAATAAGTGCTTGTATTGTGAGACCATGTGCTCTAGGGCTGTCCAAGACAGGTTGGTGCTTGTGTTGTGAGACCATGTGCTCTTGGGCCTGTCCAAGACAGGTTGGTGCTTGTTAGACCATGTGCTCAAGTTCTGTCCAAGATAGATAGGTGCTTGTATTGTGAGACCATGTGCTCTGGGAGTTGTGAAAGACAGGTGGGTGCTTGTGTTGTTAGACCATGTGCTGTGGGGTCTGTCCAAGACAGGTGGGTGCTTGTGTTGTTAGACCATGTGCTCTAGGGCTGTTCAAGACAGGATCACAACTGTCTTTTCTCCCAAAGCTAGCATGCTGTATACTGAACTACTGTTCAAAGCGGTGTTGTACTCACTAACTCAACTGTGTACTGATTTCAGGAATGCGCTGTGTCGACTGTGGCTACAACTGCCATGACAAGTGTCAGCCATCAGTCCCCAAGAACTGCACCAAGCTGAAGACGATGTCCGACGCCAGTGCTAGCAGCTCCAGTATATCACGGACAGGAGGCTCAGACGCCAGCTCTAGCTCTGTTGGTAAGTGATGTATGGAAGAGTATATTAGTAGCAGGGTTGCATGGTGGCTTATGCAGTGATTCCTGAGTACATGGACAGTACTTGTTAGTTTCAGGAAGATGCCACCGACTCACGTAACCTGAGTAGGAATCTGTTCCAAAACAGCCAAAAAGACAGTTGAACTTCTACTTTTAGCCATCGCAAGGTGCTTGTGTCAGTCTATGAATAAACTATATGTTCCAGACACCATAATTACTCAAATTGTTGGACCCGTGAAGATTCCAGGGTAGAATAGGTCTTCAGCAACCCATGCTTGCCGTAAAAGGCGACTATGCTTGTCGTAAAAGGCGACTAACGGGATCGGGTGGTCAGGTTGCTGACTTGGTTGATGCATGTCATCAGTCCCAATTGCGTAGATTGATGCTCATGATATCAATCACTGGATTGTCTGGTCCAGACTCGATTATTTACAGACCACCATCATATAGCTGGAATATTGCTGAGGGTGGCGTAAAACGACAAACCAACCAACCAATTAGAATTGTTGGAACAGGACAATCTCTTAGTAGAAGTTCCAGACAAATGGGATGTTGTACCTGACACACTTGGAAAACTTCTGAATGTTTTCATACAACGCCTGATGTTGTATTTACCTTTCCAGCGTTGATAGAGCGCCACCCATCATGCCCTCTCTACTCCAGGTTTGAATTCTTCCCCCAACACCTATGTTTGTCTTAAACGCGACTATATGGGACAAGCTCTGCAACTTGGTCCATTGCATGGCATCATATTCCGATGACGTGGGCGTTGCACATTAGATCAGTCACTCATTTGTGTGCCTCAATCAAGAAAGATACAAATTGTATGATGGTGTTTCTGTACTGTAGATACTCTGTCCTCAGCCACCACACAAGCCTTCGAGAACTTCCCCTCCAGTCTGGGCGACTGCAGTCACAGCACCCATGAGGGATTTCTGTACAAACAGGGGGCGCTGCTCAAGGGGTGGAAACAGCGCTGGTTTGTGCTCGACTCCATGAAACATCAGGTGAGTGAGTGAGGGGATATTGTCCCTGTTGACTGTCCAGCTCCAGGTGAGTGAGTGAGTGAGTGTGGATTGTCTTTGTTGACTGTCCAGCTCCAGGTGAGTGAGTGAGTGTGGATTGTCTGTGTTGACTGTCCAGCTCCAGGTGAGTGAGTGAGTGAGTGTGGATTGTCTTTGTTGACTGTCCAGCTCCAGGTGAGTGAGTGAGTGTGGATTGTCTGTGTTGACTGTCCAGCTCCAGGTGAGTGAGTGAGTGAGTGTGGATTGTCTGTGTTGACTGTCCAGCTCCAGGTGAGTGAGTGAGTGAGTGTGGATTGTCTGTGTTGACTGTCCAGCTCCAGGTGAGTGAGTGAGTGAGTGTGGATTGTCTGTGTTGACTGTCCAGCTCCAGGTGAGTGAGTGAGTGAGTGTGGATTGTCTTTGTTGACTGTCCAGCTCTTAGAGAGTGAGTGAGTGAGGGTGTAGGGATTGGGGTGAATGTTTTACAAACAAAATACTTGGTTGCTGTCTTGGAGAAAAATATTAATAATAAAAATAAAAGTTCTTCTCCCTTCCAAGAAGCTGTGACCGAAAAATTGTGTCTCAAATCCCAGGCCCAGTCGCATGTATCTTTGGGCCAATCTTCTTATACTTTGAACACCTAGTGCCATGTCTCTGATGTAATGTTTTTTGTGTTTAGTTGCGCTACTACGATGCGATACAGGACGGAAACTGTAAAGGCTTCATTGATCTGGCTGAGGTGGAATCAGTGCAGCCTGTCAAGAACCACCCGGGCGCATCCAAGAAATCAGAAGAAAACTCTATATTTGAGGTAGGAGTAACCACAACCCAGGACAAGAGGTTCAGTCAACCTGTCTTCTGTTCTAATGACTCTGTTACTCTTTCATGTTTGTTTTTCATCTTGGTTTGGTTATTTGTGTCCTATTCACCTTGAAGTATACCCCACAGTGACATTGAATGGCAGATGAACCATTGAGGGGATGCTGGTACCCCAGTTATCAATGGCCATGATGCTTATCACGTTATATAAATTGTCACAGCAAGAGAATTAAATTCATCCATTGAATCGATGTATAATCTACAAGTCCAAGATGTTCTGGTTGTCATTGAGGGCACTCACGAGTCTAGTCGAGTACTAGTGGTACTAGTTTCAATCGTAAAAGAACAGTACAATTTGATTGGTTATAATGTCATTCAAACTCCAAACAATGGTATGTTTGTCATCTTCCCCGAGGCAAGAGAGTTAACTGACTATAAAAGTCCAGTTTCCCCCCTTTGCCAAACTAGGCTGGTATTGTGGAGTTACATTTTGGCTGGACTAACGAGTCTAGGCATAGTCCAAACAAAATCGCGCACCGAAATAGAAATCCGGTAAGTATACTGTGCAAATACCGTCGATTGCAGGATTTGCAAAGCATGTGCACCGCCAACTCGTTGTCAGCAGATATTTTCCAATTCTTTTCATGTTTTTAATCAAGGTGCTCACGTGATTTGATGCGTTTCGCGATGTAAGACCCGTTTTATCACACTATAGATCTTGATTATGAATCAGATTGTCCTGACTGGGCGCCACCATTTTGTTTGAAGCGAATGCAAGTGATACAAGAGGTTGAATCTGATTGGTCCATAGGAGAGGCTTAGAAGGGACATAACGGGTAATAGACACTGGTGGCACTACGATCGAGCCCAGTAGTTCCAGCCTAGTTCGCCAAGGGTGGAAACTGGACTTTTAAAGTCAGTTAACTCTCTTGCCTCGGGAAGATGCGTGGACACATGCTACTCATATTTTGGTAGGGAGATTCAGAGTAACCAGGTGCATCTGCACCAACAGTAAAGATGTATGTTTGTAGGTCCAGGGTAAATATAACGGAATGATGACATGATATGCTATGTAACTGAGAATGTCTGCAGCTATATATGTATTCCATCTTCCTTATGTCTCCCTTGGGGATTCTGGGGTAGAATATGCTCGTCATAAGAGGCCAGCTAAATGGATCAGGTGGTCCAGCTCAGTGACTTGGTTGATTCTGTGTCACTGTACCCCGATGGCGTGGATCGTTGCTCATAATGACTGGATTGTCTGATAGAGACTTGATAATTTACAAGCTGACGTCATATAGCTGGAATATTGCTGAGTGCGGCGTTAAACAACAAACAAACAGATCTGTCGCTTGTGTTGATGATGTTCTTGTTGATGTTGCAGATCCGCACAGTTAGGAGGCAGTACAACTTCATGGCTGCCAACCCTGTTATGGCCCAGGAGTGGATAGACAAACTTCAAAGTTGTATACAGTAGTGGAAGATAGCAAGCCAAGACTTTAAGTGCTATGTTTCCATGACAACAGTGTGGCTGGAAAGATGCTGGACCAGTTTATACTGGCTAGAGTGGTACACTTTTAAAGGGAACAGATTGAAGCCGGCTTAAACTAGATTGGACCAGATTGTACAGGAGTTTGTATTTTGAGCAAGCATGACCAAGTTTTGAGCGTGTACGTGAGTGTGGGTGATAGTCAAGTCTGCAGATCTCAACCAGCACTGAATCGTTCACCAGGGTCAAACTTGGCCTCATTGTACGACCACCCCAAAGAGTACTTGGCTCTCTCAAATGCAACTTACATGGAGTCAAGCTATATTTTTCGCCATGGTCATGTGTATGGAAGACAAGCCCTGTGGTGCACAGCTAAACCACAATGGAACTATTCGATTTGTAATACTCAACTTTGGGAGTATCTACAATACCAGTGTTTGAATGTGCACCCATGTAAGCATGTAAACCACATGTAGCTGTTCACATGACACAGTGTCCTGGGAATACGTGAATCTGATCTCTGCTACGCTGTCTGACCCCAGACAATCATAGGAAGGGAGTACTAGCCTTCTTCTCTAGATTGTTGTAGGAGTCGATCTCTAGGTCCAGTAGTCATAACTTAACAGCATTAGATGTAGAGGTTGTGCACAGAGCTGGTGGTCGCCCTGTATAGCTGCTGTCCTGGAGCTATGGGAGTAGAGGATGTGGACACAGACCTGAAGATGCTGTAATGATGTATCTTTCTGGCCTCATCGACAGCAGCAGCATCGTCTTCATACGGTAGTCTTCAACATCACAAGAATACTGTTGCTGTTGTTGTCGCAGGAATACGGAAGTCTTCAACGTCACCAGAATACTGTTGTCATCGCAAGAATACGGTAGACTTCATCATCACCAGAATACTGTTGTCATCGCAGGAATACGGTAGTCTTCAACATGACAAGAATATTGCTGTTGTCATCGCAAGAATACGGTAGTTTTCAACATCACAAGAATATTGCTGTTGTCATCGCAAGAATACTGTAGTCTTCAACATCACAAGAATATTGCTGTTGTCATGGCAGGAATATTGCTGTCTTTATCATCACAGAAATATCATTTTGTTGAAAATCTCCATCAAAACCATTTTTTGTCATCACAGGATTACTATTGTCTTTCTCTCAGAAATATTTACCATATATATTCCCATGACAACCTTATAAAAAGGACACAAAGTCTTGATAACTCTCTGATTGCTAAGTCTACATTTGACCTATTGCTGGAATATTGCCATGAATGGAGTCAAACCTAACTCACTCCTCACTTAGGCATTACAGTCCATACTATAGCCATCATCTCCAGGAAAAGGTTTGTTCATCAATTTACAATCGATCACCTGCATCAAGATGCAAAGTCTGTCACCTGCTGATGCTGTGAAGGATACTGTTGGTAGTCATGGCGATGCCGTAGTTCCATAATGTCTTGTAAATGTCTGTGTGATATCTGTGTGTGAGATACAGCGAAGATCCATCAGCAGTCAGCATCTCTGAGATGGCATACGGAACCTGCAGTGTGTTCAACACTGAAGTCATCAATGCACTGGTAGTTGTTTGTGAAAGATGATAAAATGTTTGACTTCACCAAGTCAAGCAGGGCTCCATCTGTACCTCAAATGCCTATTAGCCCAAATAGCCCCACAGTCTGCAACCTTGGCCACTACTTCGAAGCCCAAGTCTAGTAAAAATCTGTTTGGTCTAGTAAGCTCAGTAATAATAACAACCTATAATAACACTAAATTCTCCTGAAATTGATGCTGGGGGCCACCTTCAGGCTAGTCTCAAAAGGTTTAGGCACAGACTGATAACATATGAGGGCAGCCTATCCATGGGAAATTAGCTAGCCCTTGGGGTACCTTCAACATTAAACAGACTGACTCGGGCTAGCAGGCTGGTGCTATTGTGCATCCCTGGCCCAGTGATGAAGCGTTGAAATTCTACTGCTGGGAATGCCAGTGTTTAGGGCAGTCTCCACTTAACCTTCTCTCATCAACACCTGGAACATGGATTCTCAAACATTCTATGTGCCAGTGCAGTGGACTACAGAAACAAGATCAACAGGAGGAGTAAATCCTTGGTCAGGGCATTGCTGACATTGCTTGTCCATGTTCTGAGATGATGTCAATCAGTGTGTTTTGAGGCACTGCAACATGGCTGCTGGAGAACGATGATGTTTGTTGTCAGACAGCAGCTGTGGAGTCAATGGAATATCGTCAACATATTATCTTTTTACTGTTAAGTCATGTTTGTGTTTCACTTCAGGCGTCAAGCATGCATTCATGGAACTAAGTGCCGATTTGATCCGCGTTAGACCTTCATCAGGGGAGTCCTTGATGATGATGTCACAGTCACTGGACTTGCTCCTGCTGGTTCCGGTCGAGTGAGACTTTGGTGCAGAATTGAATTACATTCTCTTCAAATATGCGCGGGTCTTGTTGTCAAGAGACCGATCTGGATGAGTTTATCTGCATTTATAGAAGAAACGCGAGAGCAGTTTGCTGAGTTGTGTGTGCTGTGAGTGGGTGTGAATGACAGGGCTTATTTATACATGTGACAACTGCCGCTGTACATGCTTCGGATTTCAGTGCGTTTGTCATTGTCGTGTTTCCATATCAGAAACACAAGTTTTAGTATCTGTATAAAACTGTGTGTGTATGTATATTGAGTACCGGTAGTCGTCTGTACAGATGTATTCTAGAGATGTTGACTTGTGGGATCAGTGTGTCGTACTTCATCATTGTTTGACTTAGTGCTTGTATCCATACAACTATTTCTCCATGACAGACAATCTGCATGTGCTGTCATGGATGGCAGGCAACCAGTCCTTTATTACCTTGTGTGGCATCATGTTGAAGGTAGCAAATGAAACATTAATCTATAATTTAATACTTTAAAATTAGTTTTAGAATTGAAAATGAATCAGATATGAATAACCTATAAAGTTGATTACGGACAACTTCACATATAACAATATAGTTGTGATTTCAGTCAACATATGGCAGGTGTCTAGGGACCATCAAAACCAGTATGTTATTCATGTGTGTTATTCACAGTTGTCAATTTATTGTCAATCCAGGAGATTGGAACTTGACTGGTGAAATTTAACTTTTCCCTCGGACATTTTCCTATATGGATTTGACCATGTTTCTCCACTCTGTTATGTCTACAATTGACAGTTAGTCCTGGAATTGACTGTTGTGTCTGAATTTGACTTTGTTAAATCTAGATTTGACTCAAAATTATATGTGAATTGTACTATGTTAAATCTAGATCTGACCCTACGTTATATGTGAATTTGTAGTTACGGATCAATCCTGAGAAATTCAGGTACCTCCGATGCATGTATTAGATATGATGAATCAATGTTCAACAGTGAGACAGCAGCAGCCTTGCCACACAGGGTAGTGATGATGATTGTGTATGGTATCTGTGTATATAGACTTGGTTCTCTCGACCACTGTCACTATCAGTGCAATATGGCTGCTCAACAATGGTTGTCGTGCTCTATGCATAATGCATCACTAGACTCAAGACCATTGGGGCAGGCTAGGTATTTATTTGCTCATATAGTTTTTTTTGGTACGACATCCTTGCATAGTTTCTTCTTTATATTTTTATAGGTATGTTTTTCAGTATTATATGTGCCACAGTCTGTGAACTGCATTGTTGGCGTGGAGATGCAGCACTTTGCCACAAAGCCTTACTTTACCGTTTGTCCTGGAATACTGCTGACTTGTCTCCCTTTAGGACATGCTCAGTTTGAATCTGTGTAACTCATTGGACAAATGTACACAACATGAGAATTAGACCTAAATATTTTTGTATTGTTTGAGATGTGTCAGTGTAGGAAATTAGCTAGATTATTGTGTATTTCATGTTTTTTATTTCACAGCCTTCTGAAACACTTTGGTAAAGACATTTAATGTTGGAAAGACTGTCCTGCCTCCCTAACTAGCAGACCGCAGTGTCTTATATAAGAACTCTGAATTTGAAGAAGTTTCAAATGGCAACATTACAACGTAACCTTCATTTCTCAAAGACAATATTTACATTATCAGGAGGGTGTATCATGAAAGACTTAAATGAATTTTCTGTTATCTGTTGATATAAGCATAATGTGAATTTGGTACTGACTTAATAGTGTTAATGCGATCTCTATTTAGTGGGAACAGATTCCAGTCCCACTGTCCCCTATCTGGCATCCTTAGTCATCATTCATACCCGTACTCGTCAGTTTACTGAAGTTGCCATCATCTGCAGCCTCATCACTTAGCTTTGCTCTCATCTATAGCTGACACTTGGCGATATGAGATACTGTTCAACACTGAACTCACATACTCCTCCATCTGATCTCAGACTGTTGTCCTCCACACAGCAGCACATTCTTCATCAGTATTGCATAATGCTTCACACACCACTGGAGGCCACAGTACGGCCATGGAGATCAAGGGAGATAAGTCTGTTGTCATCCCAGAATCTGCTGAGCCGTTCATTTCCGTGAATGAATATTTTCATAGAATGAAGTTCACATTTTAATGTGTCGACAGTTCATCCCGTTTGTACACAGTGTATGCTATATTTATAGAACTAAGTAAATCTTTGTCAACTTTAATGTGAAATCAATTTCCTAAACTCCCAATAATAACATATACACATATAACTGTCATATAACACACTAGCTCGATAACTTATTTATATCATGATTTGATAACAATGTCCATTCTTTACTACATTTTAAACTTGAAACTCAGGATCAAGTATTTTAGTATAAAGATTTTATTATTACCCTATTTTTTAATTCAGTCAATATTTAAAGGGTTCCTGAAGATGAACTTATTTTGCAAGAACCCAATGAATGTCAGAGGCTTTGTGGCAAAACTGTTGTCTTTCATTTGTTGAATTTTGTCCTAGTTGTATATGTACTTGTTTTTGTGGGAAATTTTAAGATGGATTCGATAATTTGTACATTTAGGCTGCTTTTATCAACAACATTGATGTTATTTTATCTTGTACAGTCATTTGTCTCTGTCGGCAGTTGTTATTTGATTACAGGAGGTCAAATTAGTTTTATCTGCCTATCTGCAATGCTGTTCTAGATACCTTCCTTCCAATACTTTTGTTGATATAGATGTGCTCCTCCGTTTCTACATTGTTTGTAGCATGCTTCAGGCATTGATAGAGGCAGGAATATCTAATACCCATGATCACAGACAGGACATATTAATGTTAAGAAATCAAATTTTGTATGTGTAACGTAAACGTTTAGCATTACAAGATATACTTAGATGGTACCCTTAGAAAACGTGACAATGGGAAAGTGAGAATTATATATCTAAATAACAGATTGACTTGGATCAAGGCACAACAGATACAAGGAGAACAATCCAGTAAATGTCTCGTACACTGCTCAGTGCTGTGATGTAGCCTAGTGGTTAAAGTGTTAGCTCATCAAGCCTAAGCAATTGGTTCAACTCCCCACATGGTTTCAGTGTGTGCTGTCCTTTAGGCAGAGATATAAACCGTGATCCATGGTGACTCTGCAAGCTAGGATATATACATTGATATGATGTGTATGAAGTCAGTTCCTGGTATCCAACACAGTCACATCACTCTCTCAGGACGCTCAAAAAGCTTATGACAATTTTTTGTTTCGGGAAATATATTGATAAGGCTATGTTTACCCAGAACTGAGATGCCATGATTGTTTTTATAGATGAGTGCAAGAACTAATATAGCTGTTCAGTTGAACTATTTGTGATTGTTTTACAGATTCATGTTTAGGACGTGCCTGCTCTCTATCACAGCCAGTGTTGGAATTCCACTCCTTAAATCATGTGGTATAGCTTAATTCTGTTTTCGAGCCATATTGATCAAGAATTTTCAAAGTTTATTACAAATTCTGTAATATTGTTTGGCATGAGCACAAGTAAAACTGTGACAGGTTTTAGTGAAAATTGACAACAACAAACCATGGTCGTGGGAGCAGGATCCTCTACAACTCTACAAACCCTCCAGGTTCAAACCCTCTCCCATTACCACCTACTCTTCAACCTACCCTACTCCACCATTCTTATGTCAAGCCCATGTCAACTTGTCTGCCAATCATTCTTTACTGATCCCATCAGCCCTTAGTCTTCTGTGTAAACTATTGCATTCAGTACACTAGTTGGATGCTTTTAGAGACTTTGCCCCCCTGGGAAGATGAGGTGAGGTGAGGTGAAACGGGGCTGAACGCTGTGTTGTTTGTGAAGAGCAGCACTGCAACAGTTCCAATACCCACCCCACCCCCATGAAGATCACTACATCAAACCTTTTCTCGTCTGTAGATCATGAAGATCACTACACCAAACCTTTTCTCGTCTGTAGGACTTGAAGATCACTACATCAAACCTTTTCTCGTCTGTAGACCATGAAGATCACTACATCAAACCTTTCCTCGTCTGAAAACCATGAAGATCACTACATCAAACCTTTTCTCGTCTGTAGGACATGAAGATCACTACACCAAACCTTTTCTCGTCTGTAGGACATGACAATCATTACATAAAGTCACATCTCATCTGTACATGATGGCAATTACTTTATTGAAAACTATCATTATGTCTCCCTATACCTTCCCCATCATGAAGAAAACCTCAATATGTACCTTTACATACTAGATGACACCCACACGTGTACCTTTACAGTCAAGAAGAAACCCTCACATATGTACCTTTGCAGTCAAGAAGAAACGCTCACATATGTACCTTTGCAGTCAAGAAGAAACCCTCATATGTGTACCTTTACAGTCAAGAAGAAACCCTCACATGTGTACCTTTACAGTCAAGAAGAAACCCTCATATGTGTACCTTTACAGTCAAGAAGAAACCCTCATATGTGTACCTTTACAGTCAAGAAGAAACCCTCACATGTGTACCTTTACAGTCAAGAAGAAACCCTCATATGTGTACCTTTACAGTCAAGAAGAAACCCTCACATGTGTACCTTTACAGTCAAGAAGAAACCCTCACATATGTACCTTTACCGTCAAGAAGAAACCCTCACATATGTACCTTTACCGTCAAGAAGAAACCCTCACATATGTACCTTTACCGTCAAGAAGAAACCCTCACATATGTACCCTTCCAAGCCATGTAGATAATCAAGTGCATTGTAGATGTTTGTGTTTGGCTGCTGACCGGCTGCCTACTGGGCCTGACAGGCAGGTTGTTGTATATGTGATGTCCGTGTTAAGTGTACAGTCCATCACCGACCCCCACGACCTTTATCACAGGTCAGGCTGCAGGCACTTACACATTGTCTACAGTCACACATTGTCCACACTTAAGGGCTGAGTTACTTGGGCATTTGTAGAAATTCTTTCTTATCATGCATAAGAATAATGTAGATATAGTTGAGGGTAAGAAGGCGAACAGGAAAGGTAGATTTAGCAGAGTATGAAAAATTACAGTAGAAACACAATCAATTAAACTAAAGATTTCAACTAAATGGTGTCATTTCTTACAAAGGCAAAACAGTGCAACAGTAGGGCTTCTAAAAGTAATATTTGATGAACAGTGTTTTCTTGGCCAATCAATGAAATTGTTTTTTGATGGCAAAGTTACCATCACAAAACACAAAATGGAACATGTGTTAACATTGATTAATGCCAACTGCCTTTGTCAGGGCAGCAGAAATGCAGGTATTGTCCTATGTTTGTAATCTCTCTCAGTTTCAAACCATGGGAGATAATACAGTGAAACCTCATTAGTCCAGAAACCTGCTGTTCCAGACATGTACTGTGGGGAATGTCTACATATACAGGGGACTCCATCCTCATCATTTGGTATGGCAATATTCTGTTTATATGGTTCGGATTAACAAGGTTTCAGTGTATGTCTTGTGTTAAATCTGTTCCTGAGGAGGCATGAAAATAGACCATGGACTTTGTGTTTTCACCTCTCATTTATCAAGCTTATTGTCATGTCACCGCCATCCCACTCCATATCTGGTCATGTTCATCATAATTTCACATCAACATCATACAGCTCATGATGACAACCTCATCTAAGTTATCATTCAACACATCCTGATCAACCATGTTATTCAACCTGTTATCCTCATGTAGTCAGTCATCCAACTGTTATTGTGGTACAAATACTTTACCATAGAACTCTTGATCATACATATTGTTACCGACTCTTATCCCAGTTGAATTGTATAGCAGTGGCATCATCCGAGGTGTGTAACAGTGTTATTGCTGACTTGTGCAACTGTTATCCTAGGTTATAACTGTGTTATCATCCAAAGTATGTGACATGTCATTGCCCTAGGTGTGTAACAGTGTTTTCCTCCAAGGTGTGTGACATGTTGCCGGGCTGGATGTATGACAAGTGTATAACAGTGTTATCATCAGTGGTATATGACTGTTATCCCCCTGTCTGTGGTCTGTCATATATGTTCTGTGAGTCCTATGTGTAGTACAGCAGTCATTGTACAGGTAGTAGATATTTTACTGGTTTTAACATTTTAATATTGACAGTGTTCAGTGGATTTCATACTGGCGATACTCGCCCGTCATGTCTTCATCATATTTTTTTTTCTTTTGCAAGCCAGGAAAGTGGAATAAAATATTAAATATAAGAAACACGTGGTTTGTTTTTATCAAGTCAAGTCGTCTATATGAGACTTCTATAGATTCCCTGGAAGAAAGATGATAGCTTTATTTGAAATCTGCATCATATATATATTCCTGTCTGTCTAATTCAATGACTCTGTGGGGATTGATTCTGGGTTACAGAAGGCCCCCAAACACTATGATTTGGATCAGGTGGTCAGGCTGGGTGACTTGGTTGATTGTGTGTCAACATATACTGACAGCAGGGATTTGCTCATGGTTTCAATCACTGGGTTTTTTTTTCAGGTCTACATTCGATTATGTACAGGCAGCCATCAGATAGCTGGAATATTGCAGAGTGTTGTATTAAACAACAAACTGACAAATCTAGGTCGCATGTATTCAGTAGAAGACATTGTGTGGCAGGATTATTTGAAAATCAAGATCTGATTCAAACAATGAAATTTAATTCATGTTCTAAAGCCTTGAAAAATCATTGGGACATCAGCTTACATCAGCTTACAAACTTGGGGTGACACTGTTGTTCTTGCGAATGAAATCAGTATAGATCTAAAGTGCTGCATTTTGCTGTGCAGAGTAGCATCTCTTATGCGTACCAGAAACATATGATCTGGGTTCGAATCCTGGCGTCTTGATTATGTTTCTAGGTTTGCCAGCATCATACCCTTGCGTTGGTTTCAAGTTCAAAGACCTGCATCACTTCCAGCCTGCTTCTTGCCTCAAGCTGACAGACTAGTGAGCCAGTTTGATTTTACGCTGCATTTAGCAATAATCCAGCAATATCACGGCGGGGGACACCAGAAATGGGCTTCATACATTGTACCCATGTCGGGAATCGAACCCGGGTCATCGGCGTGACGAGCGAACGCTTTAACCACTAGGCTACCCGACCGCCCCCTGACACTAGTTACTGTTCAAAGCAGAGTTGTCACACTAAATCACAACTGGGCCAGTCTTTGCTTGACCATGGTTAGATCCCGAGGCCGCCTCCATGGCATAGTGGATAGAGTGTCTGTCCCGAAAGCGGAAGGTCGGTGGTTGTCCTGTGGCCGCCTCTACGATGTAACAGATAGAGCGTCTGTCCCGAGAGGGGAAGGTGGGTCGTTTTCCAGTGGCCGCCTCTACGATGTAATGGAGAGAGTGTCTGTCCCAAGAGCGGAAGGTCGGTGGTTCAATCCCCAGGTCGTGTTATACTACAGTCTGTACAAGACGTTAAAAGATTATTTGTTGGCGCTCGCACTGGGGGGCACGGGTGACCCAGTCGTCTGAGGCGCCGCAATTCGCCGTGCAGAGTTACGTCCCTTGGGCACGCCAGAAACCTATGATTGTGGGTTCGAATCCAGGTTCGCCCCGATTATGTGTCTAGGTTTGTCAGCACCATACCAGTGCTTGTGGGTTTCACCGAAGAGGTAAACGTTTGAGACCTGCATCACTTCGGGCTTTCCTCCAACATTAGGTTGACACGCCGCGATATAACTGGAATACTGTTAAAAGCGGCGTTAAACCCAACTCACTCACTCACTCACTCACTCACTCACTCACTCACTCACTCACTCACACTGCTATAAACTACAAAGTGCCCCTTTCAACTGAGAAATAGACGTTGATTTATTGTGGCTCCCTAAACTGAGATATAAACGTTGTTTTATAGTGGCTCTTTAAACTGAGATATAAACGTTATATAGTGGCTCTTTAAACTGAGATATAAATGTTGTTATATAGTGGCTCTTTAAACTGAAATATAAACGTTGTTATATAGTGGCTCTTTAAACTGAGATATAAATGTTATATAGTGGCTCTTTAAACTGAGATATAAACGTTGTTATATAGTGGCTCCCTAAACTGAGATAAAAACGTTGTTATATAGTGGCTCTTTAAACTGAGATATAAACGTTGTTATATCTAAGTGGCTCTTTAAACTGAAATATAAATGTTGTTATATAGTGGCTCTTTAAACTGCAATATAAACGTTGTTATATAGTGGCTCTTTAGACCGAGATATAAACGTTGTTATATAGTGGCTCTTTAGACTGAGATATAAACGTTGTTATATAGTGGCTCTTTAGACTGAAATATAAACGTTGTTATATAGTGGTCCTTTAAATTAAGATATAAACGTTCTTATATAGTCGTCCTTTAAACTGAGCTATAAACGTTGATTCAAGATGGCTCTTTAAACTGAGCTATAAACTCGCTCACTTTTAACTGAAGTAAGAACGCAGAACCATCAAGGGTCATGTGACAGACATAAACGGAACAAGGTCGAAAGTCGATACTCATGGGAAAGATAACACAATTTTTTAACAAAGGCAATTACTATCCATAATACATTGGTCGAAAAAGGTATTCTATTATGCATAGCAGCAGAAGAGCTGATGGCAACGGTGGAACAATACCCGTTGATACCATCTTCCTGAGGCAAAAGAGTTAACTGACTATAAAAGTCCAGTTTCCACCCTTGCCGAACTAGGCTGGTATTATGGAGTTACATTTTGGCTGGGCTAACGAGTCTATGCATAGTCCAATCAAAATCGCGCACCGAAATCGAAATCCGGTTCGTAAACTGTCGTGCAGATTTCGGTAGATTGCAGGATTTGCAAAGCAGGTGCACCGCCAACTCGTTGTCAGCAGATATTTTCCAAATCTTTTCATGGTTTTAATCAAGGAGCTCACGTGATTTGAGGCATTTAGCGATGTAAGACCCGTTTTATCACAATATACATCTTGATTATCGATCAGATCGTCCTGACTGGGCGACACCATTTTGTGTGAAGCAAACACAAGTGATACGAGAAGTGGAATCTGATTGGTCCATAGGAGAGACTTAGAAGGGCCATAACTGGTAATAGCCACTGGTGGCGCTACGATCGAGCCCAGTAATTCCAGCCTAGTTCGGCAAGGGTGGATACTGGACTTTTAAAGTCAGTTAACTCTCTTGCCTCGGGAAGATGCGTGGACACATGCTACTCATATTTTGGTAGGGAGATTCAGAGTAACCAGGTGCATCTGCACCAACAGTAGTGGCTGTTGTGGGGCGGACTCCACGACACACACGTCCATCCGTCGTTCACCAGAGGTTACAGGATGAACTATCCCAACATCTCTATATAAAGTTGAGTAGTTTAGGTATTTCTCGTACAGTAAGAATAATCTCAATATCCCTATCTAACGTTGAGAAGTATAGGTATTTCTGGTATGGATATAAAAAAACAAACACATATATTCATGTGTTTAGAATTAGTTAGTTTGTGAGTTGGGTTGAACGCCGCTGTGAATTTTTTTCGAGTGATATCCCGGCGTGTCAGCTTAATGTGGAAACCCGGAGTGATGCAGGTCTCAGACATTTTACGACTTTACAGAAACCCACAAGCATTGATATGGTGCTGTGAAACCTAGAAACGGCGATCATAAGTTTCTGTTGTGCCCAAGGGACGCATGATGAGAGAAAATGGAAGAATGTAATTTAAAATAATAACGGAAGATTGACTTGAAATTCATTTCAAGGTTGGCGTTTGCTTCTACTAGAACGTCGCCATTTTATCATTTTCGGTTTTGTTACTACCCCACCGACCGACCCGTCAATCATACTAGTGAGACTCCATATCCACCCGTCAATCATACTAGTTAGGCTCCATATCCATCCGTCAATCATACTAGTGAGACTCCATATCCACCCGTCAATCATACTAGTTAGGCTCCATATCCACCCGTCAATCATACTAGTGAGACTCCATACCCACCCGTCAAGCAAACACATTTGAATCCAAACCCTCAATCAAGCAACATAATCTTTTTAATCTCGTGGTCTTGTGGTAGAGCGTCCGCCCGGAGAGCGGAAGGTCCGGGGTTCGATCCCCGGCCGCGTCATACCAAAAGACGTTAAAAGATGGTACTTGTTGTTACCCTGTCTGGCGCTCGGCATTAATGGGGCTAACACAAGGACTGGTCGGCTCGGAGTCAGTATACTGTGTCTGAGTGGGGTATTCATGTTATCAGGCATCAGTCCGGACTAGTACAAGCAGCCACACAAACACACACACGTACATGCACGTCGCTATATAAGTGCAATAATCTTGGACGCGACGTTAAACCCAATTTCACATCGCCTCACCTTTTATAATCTATATCACAACACATGCGAGACTCCACATAATAATGTGTTTGTTGTTTAACGCCGCACTCAGCAATATAAATGCCATATGACAGCGGTCTGTAATTAATCGAGTCTAGACCAGACAATCCAGTGATTGACATCATGAGCATCGATCCACGCAACTGGAGTACGATGACAAGAATCAACAAAGTCAACGAGCCTGACCATCCGATCCCGTTAGTCGCCTCTTACGACACTATAGTCGCCTTTTACGACCAGCATGGGTTGCTGAAGACCTATTCTAACCCGGGATATTCACGGGTCTATCTCCTTATTAATTAACGGATTATTTCCAAGTCACATAAATGCATGGAACATGAAACATAACAATATTTGTTTCTTGTTTAACGCCGTACTCAGCAATATAACGGGGGTTTGTAAATAATCGAATCTGGACCACACCATACAGTGATTGACATCATGAGCAGTTGGGATACGATGACATGCATCAACCTCGTCGCCGAGCCTGACCAGCCGATCCCATTAGTCGCCTCTTACAAGCAGAAGTTACCGGGGACCTACATTATTTCAAGAAACATAGCCGTACACTTTGCATATTGACATACGCATTGAAACCACATTGACATTTCCTTAATGTAACAAGCAACACTCACTTACAGAAACCCGACCTACAGATGACGTTACAAGGCGTATCCATCTTGGAGGTTATAATCTATTAAATATTAATCCACCGAGGTTTCCGATCTGATGGTGCCGTTGTCGACATATTATTTCATTATCTCGTAAAGTCAGATGTCCTCGCTTGAATATTTTGTTTCGACAAATTGTGTTCTTGTACTGGATGAACCAACAGTATAGTTCCGGACTAGATATGTGATATTTGGGCGTCTC